GATAGAGAGTCGTTACAAAGGAAGAAAAATCTTTATTCCATCGGCGGAACCGTTTTTGTTAGTATTTTTTAATATAACAATAAACCTAAAGTGATATATTTTACTTATGTTTCCTATAAAACAAAATTCATCATTTTAAATCTCAATAAAACTATACCAACGTAATACATTGTATACATAATATCAAAAGAAAGATATCAAGAAAGGAAAGAGCTATTAGTATTTATGTCACATGAAATGTTTTGCTTTGCTAGCGTCGGAACAAAAAAAAAAAGAAAGAAAATAATGCGCAAATCATGGTAATATACGGACGTGTAAAGTATGCAATAGCTACGTTGCAAATAACAATGCGAAAAAAGTCTGATTGCTATATATTTTTAAATTACCTCCGTTCTCTGTGCGTTAGCCTAGAAGGTTCGATAATTCGTTTAGTTTAGATATCGTTTTCAATTTGCACTGACATTTATTTTCTACACCACTGTTTACTCTAATGTTGATTTCATTGATGATAAATATATTTCGTCACCTGAGTTTGTTGGACACATAACAGTACCTAATCTTTTGTAAAAATAAGTGCCTATAATGTATAGAAAACATAATGTATCCCAAAATTGAGATTGAGATTCAATTAAAATTTTGATTTATGTAGTCATCACCGGAATTGGCACTTACATTTTTTGAGTATTATTAATTAACAGAAAACGCAACTAGACAATTTATGTATTTGTAAATGGTTATAAATTTTCGCGCACTTTTTTCACTGTCTTACTTACTGTCATATACCTTTTTTTTTTTTTTTTTTTTGGTTTCGGGGGGGAAATCTTCAAAAGATACCCTGTCATGATATGACAGGGTTATGTGGGGTCATATACCTATGAACAAAGTATTTTCATAGTCTTACAGAATATTTAGCGAACCATGTAATCAAACGCATCCAGTTCCATTTCAGTATGTATGTCTATATGTCAGTATATATATATGTCTTATCTATGAACGCATCTAAATGCGCAATTGAACACATTATGAAATGATAATTTAAAACAGTAAGCGAATATTTTAAAATGACAAAAAATTGCCACTACCAAAAATATATTTACCGCCTACAAATTCTTTGTTAATTTTTTAAGACGAAACGAAACACGAAATACCTTGAAAATAAATAGGTTAAAAGAACCAGAACCAAAGGTTGTATCTTTTACAATTACAATCATAACAAAATTCAAAGCAATTGTAAAAGTTAAACGGCGTGAAGTAGAAGTGTTACACTTCTACGTTTCGACTGGTGAGTAAGGTAGCTGGGGCCCACTTTATTAAAAGGTGTTGCAAATGTCCATGGGAGGTGGTTATCACCTAACATCAGGTGAACCGCCAGCTCGTTTGCCACTTTGTCACCTAAAAAAATGTGTAGTTTTTGTATGTAATTTTTTTTTTGAAAACTGATTGACACTATGGAAGTGATATATTATGTTTCAAAATGTATAATTGGTGGTGTAACTCAGTGTTAGAGTGTCTGCTTCGCATGCTGAAACTCCTGGGTTCAAATCCTGCTCCTCCAAATTATTTCGCAATCTTCCCAAAGAAAAAAACAAGACGTTTATAATTAGATAATCTTTTATAGTTAAAACATGTATAAAAAGTACGAAAAGAAGTACGGCATTCGCGGCCTGACGCTCTAGCCACTGAGCTAAACGGCTGATAGCCACAGCGACGAAAATCTTAACGCCTTCCTTCTGCATTGTTATTTAGCATTTGAAGCAATGCTTGGCGCATCTATTGTTATATCCTTTCCAGCATACAAACAATTTCGAATATTGTTTTACAACGATAATTCGAACGAGAGATGTCGCCATTGCTTTTTATAAATTTTAGAGTTTTTTATAGTGCTAATGTCTGCACTTAAGATTGAACATTAAAACATGTAGAAAAAGTACGGCCGTTTAGCTCAGTGGCTAGAGCGTCAGGCCGCGAAGGGCGAAAACGTGGGTTCGATTCCCACAGCGGCGACAATCTTTTCGTACTTTTTCTACATGTTTTAATGTTCAATCTTAAGTGCAGAGATGAGCACAATAAAAAACTTTAATTTCTTTTATAATTCTTAATTTATTACCTAGAAGTAAGCGCATATACTTTGGTGAAAAGATATCTGCTTTTAATTTCGGTAGGTAATGGCTTCTTTCTACCGATCCTAGAACGTTCTACCGTTCTAGAACGTTCTCCATAAATGATGCTTCCTATTATTATTATTGATCGCATTTTAGTCAAGCTTGTGCAACGCCATCTGTTGAGCACTAATGATGATATTTAACACCGCCATCTATAAGCGTAGTTTAGAATATATTTTAACGAAACATTTAGTACGACGATTACGATTTAGAGGGCGCATTAATAGCTTTCTGTATCGTTGAATTTTAACATCCGTGTCGTTACATTAGTTTTTACTGAAAAATAGATAAATCTTGGTAACTTCTGGTAATTTCTGTAAAATGACTAGTAAGAAAACTGTATTTAGCTCCCAGTTACGATGTCCGCTATAAACTCAAAGATAATCAATGTAGAGCAACGTTAACACTTAACTGGCAAAAACTGTATAAAAAAATAGAAAGATGGGAGCAAAATTTCCTTTTAAAATTATCAAATTCTTATATTTAGAAAACTGTAGTAAAATAATATGTAACAAAAATCATTTAAAAGTCAAAAAGTCCCAAAGTCACGGTTATTAAAACACGAATTGTTTATACAATGTTTTAATCAAAATTCAACTAAGCGTATAAATCTTATTTATACATATAATAAACAAGTAAATGAGTTAATATTTACATTAAGCAGGGGATAACTTCGCGTACACGGCAGCGCTCCCCAAAATTGCACTAACAAAAATATAGGGCTCTGGCTTTTTAGAGCCCAATGTTCCCGGCCGATGTTTGTAGTTAATTGTCGTTTAATTGTAGTTAAAATTTGCCAGTTTTGGTGTAACAATTGGTTTTATACATTGCAATTACGAAGAAAAACTTGTTATGCACTTATAGTGAAATATAGTTACGGAAAATACTTATATTAAATATTATACAGAGACAGAGTAATGCAATAACAAAAACGAGAAGTCATGGGTGCATAACGAACGATGCTAAATTGGACTAACTTAATAAATACCAAAGGTTGTGAGATGCCAGCTCTTAGAATAAGACATATAATAAATAATTTTATGAGTATTGTAGATACAGAAACTGTTTAATATCGGAAAGAATCACGTCTCAAAGCCATATTTGTACAATCCAATCCGTTTCTCAATGATTGTATAAGATTGAATACATAATTAATAACAAGGTAGTAGGTAGCGCGCGTTTTTCCCAATAGAATGTATAATGGAATAGCAAAAAAATTTACGTGTGTACCATGGTCGTATATGTTTGATTACAATGTCCTTGCTGTGTACTTGGGTATTTTTTTAATCGCTATTTCTTGCGAAAATATAAATAACAAAACTATTCTACAGATGGTATCGCGTATCCATATTGGATCCATGTGGAGTGACAGCAAAAAATTAAGAAAGACTATGAATATGGTACAATCAAATTAAAGCACTAATACAGTGCTTTAAGTACGTCATAAATAAAATATAGTTACACGAACTAAAAAAGAAACTATTAGTAATTTAAATAAAATGACGTAAAAAAATTATTACGAATATTTTGTGTGACATTCAATTACCTTAATTTATAAACATCGGCCGGATGTTAACATTATATATCAGGGTTCAAGTTAATATATAAGAAAATTATTTTTTTTCATCAATAATTATCATAATTATGTTATCACTTCAACAAAATTTTTATTTATAATTTTAATAAGGTGTTATTGAAAATAAATATAGAAAAATCCTAGGATATACACGAAGTGAACTAAGTTTTACTTAAATATTTTAACGTTTTACAACAAAATTTAAATTTTATTTTAAATTATTTCAACCACAACAACAAAATAAAATATGTTCCTTCTATTTTAATCTTACGTTCATCATATTGAATCACTAATCACTTAAAATAAAAGGCTCTAAAATTCCGAAATGATTACACGCGGTTTGTAAATGTTTACGAATTTATTTAAATGTCATATTTATTCGAAGTTAATGTTTCATTCTGGGATTATTTCCCAAAATAGTCATCAATTTGAACCCTGTTACAAAGGAGTAAATATCGTGTATACAAGACATTATAAATCCATTACAGTCTTAGTGCGCCATGGCCTCTTGGTGAACTTACGCTATGGAGTATGGCTTACTAAGGTTGATTACTAAAATTCTACACGAGTAAACTTTCGCTACAATACTTCTAGCCTGCACTTCAACAGTAACCTAGTAAAGTTGGAGTGACGCATTTATTGCAACTTTAATACAATCTGAACTTATTATTACATTCTAAAAGGAAATTATAGTTACGTTTTCTAAATACCACATTTTTTGTTTTACGATGTAACAAACAAAAAAATAAATAGCACTGTCTATTATTGTTTCGATTATAAATATACGTAATTAGAGTCCTAATTCTTGCATTATTCCAACTTTCCTAGGTATAAACTATTCACTAATAAATTGATACTACCAGTAATAATGGAAGATAATAAATTGGCCACGCCTACATCGAAGGCTACTTTGTTACAACTGACCTACACTATACTAAACTGGAGGGATTTAAAAAAGATAAACGGAATCACTACAGCGGAGCTACAAATTTATATTACGCCCGTCATTGATACGATGGCAAGTTATTTAACGTGTAACGTGTATTACGTAAAGAATAACAAGAAACGATAAAATATTTACAAAAAATACTCTAAAACGGAGAATTTTATAGAAATATTAAAAAAAAACAACACACAGCATTCATTTTGCGCAACTATAACGGAACAGAACATAATTGGACGTGTATGAGACACGCATGTGAACAAAACTTGTGTGGGCTAAAGTCTACACTACTGTGGCGTCGGTGGCGGGAGGTTGGTTAAAGGGAATCGAGCCGGGTCCGTTGCACTGCTAGCAGCGCAGACTGTTGTTGGAGACTCTTGCGCAACCCTTCCAGCGTCTGCAACACCTGGAAAGCAACCGATTTGTTCGAACACAGAGACAAAATTACCAAATCACAAGCAGTGGCTGAAATGTCGGTGTGATATTAAAATATATACATAAATATATAATAAGAGGACTGTTAATTCCTTTTATATATTTATGTATACATTAGATATGTATATTTGTCCTCCGCATACGGAGACAAAGACCTACGCCATGCAGGAACTTTTGCTGCATAGTAGCTCGAGGTAATGTAAGTATTTCCGCTTATTCCTTTTACCACTAGTTCTCACAATGGCAATGAAACTGCACACCCGGTTTTTGTAGATGTCCACGGGCGGCAGCAGTGGAGATGATCATTTAATCATCAGAGAAGTCAAGGGCGTGTCCATTTGCGGCGTAACGCACCTAGCGGTAAAGGTCTGTAGGTAGTCTGTCTGTAGTCTGATTAGGATGAGCGGCGGTTGCCAAGTATTAGCTAGGCGCCGACTTCAGGTGTTGAGCAATGGTGGGCAGCTCTAAATCTATATGCAGTTCGAAACTGGGCATGAACCACGGTGCACTCATGGCTCTGCGTATGAATCGGTTTGTGTATGTAAATAAGTCAAGACAAACAAGACTGAAGTCGGTGTATTTGCTTCGGAGCAATGTGCACGAATAACGGACTGGTCGCGGCATCGGTTTTTTTTTTTTTTTTGCTGGATGAGCCACTGTTGGCCTTAGGGGCCTTTACAGATCCGACGGACTTGAGGGGGCCGGACGCTCGAGGCGCCTAGCCTGAACCTCGACGCGCCATCGGTGCAAGCAACACGCTTAATATACGAACCTCGTCGCGGGCGTACGCTTTCCGTTTGGGGGGCTCCGAGTGGGGGCGGTCGGTGGAGAGGGGGTGGAGGGGCGAGCACGGGGTAGGGGGCGGGGGCGCGGCGAGGGGGGACCGACGCGCCACGGGGGAGGCACGCCGCGCGGCTTCCGGCGAGATCGCCCGGATGAAGTTGGTCACATGGGTGCGCTCCGGGCTGCGGCGCGGGCCATCCGCCTGAAGGCAGATCGAGGCAATGAGGCTTTAGCATGCTCGGCACTGGCGAGAGGAGCAGGCTGAGTCGCTGCTCGACCTACAGTGGGCTTACAGTCCCCTCTAAAGCTACCACATAATTATAATGTCAAAATGTTTTCATAAATTTCATAAATCAAAGTATTTTCATAAATGCTTTAACTTTTTTTTTGTTTTTTTTTGTATTCATGTTTTAAATGCCAATATTTACAAATTAAAACTAAATTACATATTGTCTAATAAAACTAGTCCATGCGGCACAGTGCTAAGCCTACGACGTAAACCATTAAGAAATTTCGATGTTACATAATGTTTCGTATCACCTCAGTAGCCCTTAGCTCCCTGACGCGCGGATTGTGCGGCGGCTCGAGTGGGGCCCGTGAAACAGTCACCAGCAGCTTCTCCGCTTCCCGAATAAGCTCTCGGTACTTCTTCTCTGCCTCCCTGTCCGCTTCCAAGAGAGGATCCCTCTCGCGCACTGGTGGCGCCGGCGGCGGCGGGTTACGGCGCCGCGATCGGGGTGGAGTGGCTCCTAGAAATGAATGCGCCCATTAAACACACATAAACCTTTTACTACAAATAATCACACGCGAATTTCCGTTCGCACTTGCAACGTGATCATTAAAGGTTGAATTTGTAAAGGTTGTAGGACACAGTGCTAGCCGGTGCTTCGAAGTACAACACAAAGCTGAAAAAATTGTGAAAATGGACAGTTAATTGTCTCTTTAACATAATATGTGAAAAAAACGCTCGCACAAAAACGAACGCACTCGTCAATGTGTTCAGTCAGCTGTTCCCGAGATGCCTCAGCTATATCTTATAGACCAATTTTACACTGAATATCTATATAATTATATAAAAATTTCGTGTCATGATGTATGGTCGCGATAAACTCCGAAACTACTGAACAAATTTTTATCAAATTTTGTAAGTCTTTATCTCAATTATTGAACTGAATATTTGTTATTGGAAATTATTTGTTCATTAGATGACAAAGGGCTATCTGTGAGTCCCATTGGATTCGGTGTAAGATAAATTTATCGGCTGGATTGAGTAAGTATCCGATAGATGGCGCTATGCTAAAAGTAGAAACGTATGGACCAAAGAGTACATTATTAATATGGTATGGACCCAGTAGAATTGGCGCAGACGAAGTTGCGCGGGCCAGCTAGTATTAATACATTGTAAAGGTTATGAGTAATCTGGTGCTCGAGTGAATATTTTGAAGTTCATTGACCTTCTGAGCGTATCTGCGGAGAACTCTACGCCTTTTCTAAATCCTATCGGGTACACCATTTCACTTGGCACGTGATTAGTAGAGACGTGAGCAAGCCTCTATAATCCTATTCCCAAGTGATGCGACATTAAAATTTCATTAAACTACTAAGCGGCGTGAGACGACTTTCAACTTAGACCTGTCGTCTTCCTCCTGTGCCATTACGGTCGGTCCACACCGTCGTTTGTTCGCCGTTAAGTGATACCGAAGTATCACTTAACTTAAACAACCAGGCTCTTCCATTCTATTCGTAGACATGAAAGTTTATAAACCTGCTGATCGTGGTGGTCTGCGAGGGGGCCTGCGTCTCCTGGCGCGTCGTCTACCGGGTGTGACATTGCAATCAGTCTCATCTTCGTCGCCGCCATCTAGGCCCGTGTCACCATCGGAATCGACATCAGCGTCGGACAGTATCGCCGTCTCCCTCCCTCGCGACCTAATGTCACGGCACTCCTCATCGCTGGACACCCCACCACGGTAGTACGGCGACAGGTAACGCTCCGGTGACAGGTGCGGAGATAAGTGGGGTGATCTGAAAAATGTTTTACATTTTTGTATTGCTCGATAACGAAGTGATACCAGCATAGATTCCAAAGAATTTTTTTCACCCAAAAAGATGTCATACATATATACAAATAGGAGCAAGACATTTATTTATCACAAGTAAACATTACATAGTTCACTGAAAAAACTGACAGAGGTTCAGACTGAGATGATTTCTATCGTTGTACATGAATAAACTAAAGTTGCTTCAAAGTTTACCACTTTCAATCTCAGGAAGGCAAATTCCCGAAGTTCCCGAAGATTGGTGAATGTTTATAAAGCTTTATGCTTAAAAAATTGCAAAGGACATTTCATTGTTCCTGGGTGAATTGAAGTGAATAAAAACAAAGATCAAGTTTTTCAATAGTTGTTCAATACCAAAAATTTCACTAGGGAGTTAGTGGACCTAAAACGAGAGTTATTCAAGACGCCGATGGCATTTTTATCGCCAAGAAGTCGCTCCAGCTCACACAGCTTTTTGAGCGATGGACGTTATAGGTGTTCGATTTATCCACATCCCCTTGAAGCTAATATTAAACTCTGTGTGATTGTTTTTACCACCACTGTGATTTCCATGCTTCTTTAGCAAAACTTGAAACTTCGGTTGGAGCCCTCTATGAATTCGGGCTGTTGTTTTGCAAAAACTTTTACAAGACTAAGTTGTGAAAGCTGTTATGAAACCTGGATAAATTGAATTAAAAAATAATGAGACTAAATAATATTCTTCCGTTCTTATTCTTTCCGGGTTTAATCACCAATAACAGCCTAAATTTTAAATGAATATGTTTCAAAGTTTCCAGCATTTCGTAAGTTTCTCATGATTTATATTTTGAAGTTGTTTCAAGTTGTTGGAAGCTGTTTTTTGATTAATTTCATGTTTCAAAATCCATAAACATTTATAATGAAGTGATGTAACTTTATCCCTTAGTAGATTTCATATTGACATGATTAGTGTTCTTATTTTTTATGTAAAACAATTTTCAGATTTACTACTTCCTGGTGTCTTAAAATGAAATGGGTTTATTTTAGATATTATTATGCATAAAATGCTTTAGTTCATTTGTTTAATATATAGGTACATCGTTTTTATAAAATACCATCCAAATTTTTTCTATCTTTTATTAAAATAAATTAAGATGGAATCTAGGAATTTTTAAACTTATTGATGTACAGTAAGCAAGACGTAAATTATATTAATTTATTTGTCGGAAACGTCAGTTGCGGATTTATAAATTTGCCGCCAATAGGATGTTCAATTTTTGCCACCCCTACTGACTTTTGAAATTCGTTACCCTAGTCCGCAATCATATTAATTACATTTATCTGTCAATAAAATTATGATTTGTGCTCTGTCGCCGTTATTACATCAGTTTTTTAAACTTTACTTTCTTCTTCTTTACATATGACTCGACGCCAGCGACGTCGCTGACGACGCCGTTGCTGACTCTGTCACCGATGTGGTGCTTCAGGGTATGGAAATGTTTATTCCATTTTCTGCAATACCCATCGGTGGCAAATCCCAGCCTTGGTTTGGTCGTTCCTGCAAGACGGCATTACGCCGAATGCTACCGAGCCTGGGCTGAAGCTTCGGCGTCTAGTGATGTAAAGACCAGCGCATTAAAAAAAGAGTATAACTCTGCTTCTAGGTCCTTCAAAAGCGTTATTGCTAAAGCGAAGTTGGAGCACATTAGCAGAATTGGCGAGAGATTGGCGCGTCTCCCATCGGGAACACGTGCGTTTTGGTCTATCGCCAAAGCTGTCTTAGGGAATTTCTGTAAGCCATCTTTTCCACCCCTGCACACGGAGGATGATTCGTTGGCCCATGCCGCGAAGGAGAAAGCCGATCTTCTGGGCTCTCTCTTTGCGTCCAACTCGACTTTGGATGACCGAGGAAAAACTCACCACCATCAATCCCCCAGTGCGACGTTACGATGCCGGAGGTAAAATTCCGGCAAAGTGCAGTTCGCAAAGCACTTCTTTCCTTGGACATTCACAAGTCGAGTGGGCCTGATGGCATCCCCTCCGATCATGTTACAGACATGTGCTCCAGAGTTGGCGCCGGTTTTAACGCGTTTTCCGGCAGTTCACCGCGTTAGTGCACCCGATCCCTAAAAAAGGCAACCGCTCTGATCCGTCCAATTACAGGCCAATAGCCATCACTTCCTTGTTCTCCAAGATAATGGAGTCTGTTATCAACGGCCAGCTCCTGCGGTACCTAGAGGAGCACCGACTGATTAGCGACCGCCAGTATGGATTTCGTCGGGGTCGCTCAGCCGGTGATCTTCTGGTCTACCTTACACATCGATGGGCAGAAGCAGTTGAGAGCAAGGGGGAGGCGCTTGCAGCCAGTCTGGACATAGCGAAGGCCTTTGATCGGGTATGGCACAAAGCGCTTCTTTCGAAGCTGCCTTCCTATGGGCTTCCCGAGAAATTATGCAATTGGATCACCAACTTTTTGGCAGATCGGAGCATCAAGGTCGTCGTCGACGGTGCATGCTCCGATCCTAAATTTGTCAATGCTGGTGTTCCACAAGGCTGTGTACTGTCTCCTACTCTGTTTCTTCTGCATATCAATGACATGTTGCAAATCAGCAACGTCCATTGTTATGCAGACGATAGCACTGTGGATGTCTCGTACACTGGCCGAGCTAACATTTCTCGGGAAAACGTCTACGAGTGTCGGAACAAGCTTGTGTCTGAGGTCGAAACTTTGTTAACCAAAGTCTCAGACTGGGGTCGACTAAACCTAGTCCAATTCAACCCCAAAAAGACACGAGTTTGCCCGTTAACCGCTAAAAAGTCCCCATTTGTCGTGACTCCTCATTTCGAGAACACTCCCCTACCTGCCACAGCTAGTATCGGAATGCTTGGCGTCGAAATCTCGAGCAACGTCCAGTTCCGCGATCAATTGGAAGGTAAGGCTAAATTGGCCTCAAAGAAGCTTGGCGTGCTCAGCAAGGCAAGACGGTACTTCACGGCTGCCCAACGCCTAAACCTGTATAAGGCGCAAATTCGGCCCCACATGGAGTACTGTTCTCACCTCTGGGCGGGAGCCCCCTATTACCAGCTTCTTCCATTTGACCGCATTCAACGTAGGGCGGCTAGGGTTATCGACGATCAAAGTCTTTCCGATCGGCTTGATCCTCTGGCTCTGCGTAGAGATGTTGGATCACTCTGCATCTTCTACCGCATTTATCACGGGGAGTGTTCTGAGGAATTGTTTGGATTGATCCCGGCGGCTGAATTCCACCATCGGACATCGCGCCAGAACCAAAAATTTCATCCACACCACCTCGATGTCCAACGTTCCACAACAGCGCGATTTTTAAGGCATTTCTTGCCTCGCACAACCACTCTGTGGAACCAACTGCCGCCGGCGGTCTTTCCGAACCGTTACGACCTGGGAACCTTCAAAAAGAGAGCGTACTCTTTCTTAAAAGGCCGGCAACGCAATTGTGAGCCCTCGGGTGTTGCAGGTGTTCATGGGCGGCGGTAATCACTTACCATCAGGTGAGCCTCCTGCTCGTTTGCCCCTTTTCTCCATAAAAAAAATAAAAAAATATGAATGTATACAATGATGTGTTTCTTTTTTTCTGTAAGGCATAAATTTTTAGGCCAAATTTGCCGGCCCCTAAAATCTGCCGCCCTAGGCTCCAGCCTCCTTAGCCTGCTGATAAATCCGCCACTGGGAAACGTAGTTTGGCACAAACTGTACCGTCTGCGCTTTTACTGCGCCTAAAATGGACATCATTATACATCAAACCTAACAGATTCTCCGTTATTACTCTGTCTCCGTCAGTGTTAGACAAATCTCGTCAATCCTTTTTCAATGGCGCAATCAGTGAAAGCAATTAAAGCGGAGGGGGTAAGGGGCAACCGGAGATTTAATCTCCTAGAGTTTAAATCGCCGGTTGCATCGAAGCTATTATAGAAGCATTAAAAGGCCGTTTGCCCTCTACACCACAAAAAAAAACAAGATAAAAACATACAAAACGAATACAAGAAATAAAATGAACGAGTATATGGGCGAAAATTAATGTATAATGATTATATTGTGACAAAATATTAATTATATTTAAGATTGATGTTTAAATAACTATTTGTGATCACAAGTTTGGAGTAAAATAACATGTGATTATGTTTAAGTCTTGTTAGTAGCGCCACCTGTTGACGGACTTTGTAAAGTGGTGTTTGTTTATCAAAATAAATTAGTAATTTGTGTAAAATAAATCATTTGGAGTTATGTAAAATTCATTATAATGTTAATATTGATTTTTGGACAATATTTCATAATTAATTGTACAGTAATTTCAATTAATGTTGTAAAGGAAGTTGCAGTTGTTAAATGTTGAGTTTAATGACAGTTGGTTATAAAGGTTATAAAAGGGATTGCAGCTAACATTCAGGCTAGTTCTGTGCTAGAAATCGTCTAAAAATGAACCAAGTGATATTACGTGTGTTTGTTTTTATTATAATGGAGTCTGGACACGATATTTACGGCCTATCCCCGACAAGTACATAGGTCGAACGTAATGTTTAGTTATTAATAATGTGCGCACCAAAAGGGATTAGAGATTATTTCAATTTATTCTTCTTATTTTGTTCTTATCTGTAAGCAGTGGATTTTAATAATAACACATTTCCTTGTACGAAGTTCATATTATTCGTGGAAAGGTAAACTCGAAAGATGTCAACTTCAGCCCTACTGGCTTAATAAGTAGTTGATATATATTGTATTTACATCTTTTTAGGGTTCTCAAAAATGTGTCTCTGTAGTTCAAGGTTCAATATCAATGAAACTAATATGGATAATGAACCTCATAAATTTTTGAAGTCTGTAGAAAAATATAATTAACTTAGCATGTTCTAGCGTTGGTACCGCAGTCTTGTTGAAGACGGTTTCCTTGAATTATTGTACCTTGGAGAGGCGTAGGCACGGGGACGACTTGGAAAAGGCGGAAAATCTCTTCGAGGCTAAGTTTTTACGGAACCCTCGATGTTAGTCTTTGACTTGCCCAGTTTTTTTAATATCGCATACCCACATATATTACACTAGATTGTTAAATAATGAAAAAATTTCATCTGAAATTCAAGCAGTAGGTTAATATGAACTTATTTCTTATTTTCCACATTTTTCCATCTCTGAGCACAATAAAAAGTCTTCTTTATGGCATTATGTTTTTTAAACGCCTTGAGCGTTTGTCGCTCCGTCGAGAGTTGTCCTCATGCATAAAAATGGGGTTACGACGCCGAAAAAGTAACGCAAAGCGTGGAAGTTTTAAATTTAACAATGGTTTGTGTGCAAAAAATATCAAAGTGGAATATTCGTGCTCTTAAAAATTCAACGGAGTTAATCTAAATGCTGAAATGTCAATCGCAGTTAAAATCGTGTAGTATAGTTAGTTCATTTTTCGAAAGGATATCCGTCCATTTTTATATTTAGTCTGTAACACTTTCGTCATCGTTACGAGACGTGCGACTAAAAAGAAAATGCGCATACGCAGATTCGACAGTATTTTTATCTTAAATATGGAGTTTAATTATTTAAAAGTGTATTACGTTTGTAGTTCAGGTTTTATTCTACCGCACTGACATAATATTGTGAAAATCTGCAGCGATTGCGAATACATGATTTGTAAATAAATGTAACTCGCAAGATGGCGCCGTTTTTAAGCAAAAAAATTGCAGGTACGTGTCTTGGAGTTCACCTTACTTTTAGACATACACCTCATATCCTTGCGATCATGGATTTGGGACACAGCAAGTCATTGTTAAGGATTGTATGTTATGGTCAAAAGACTAATTTTGGAGGACGCTGGACATTAAGACCTCGACTCTAACTGGAACATGGCCCTGACAGTGTGTTAGTAAACCAAATTTATTCTTCAACAAAACAACAATTTTGCTGTATATGAATGTCGCATTAAGATTTGTTCCGTTTACTAACATCATTGAAAAGCTGAAACAAGCCATGATATCTTATTTAGTCTATCTTGCAACAATGTCTATAAGTAAAAAAACACAATGAACAAATGACACAAAATTTAAAATCAGCCTTCCGCCACCAAAGTAGCATTGAATCGATTTATTTGATTAACGAGTGTTCCATTCGCGTGTAGTTTATTTTAAAAAGAACTTTTATTAAACTTTTCGTAATCTTGTTGACATTTTCTATTCGCAAATTGTATATGGCTTTAGTGACTTAACGTTGTAAACATTTTAAAAGTAGCACATCACTACGCCATCGATATTTTAAGTTTTACAACCATAATACACATCACTACCACCGTATGCAGGCGTCCTATTTACAACAATTACGTACCTAGATCCATATATCGATTGAGAGTCGAGCGAAAACGGCGCGTGAAGCAGCTGGGGCTGTGGCTGGGGGCTTTGCAGCGACTGTTGCGTCAGCAGAGGAGTTCTGCGACGCGAGGCGGGCGAGGTCGCGCCCAGCCACGGGTTGGTACGGATGCGGCAGCGCGGCCTGGGCGATGGGGTGGAACATACCACGGGCTCCGGAGCGCAGCGACGCACCACCGGAATAGAGCGCCTCTGGAACGGCAATGACCCATAGACACGAACCATGGAATGGAATAGAAAAAAGAAATCGCTCATTTCACTCTAACCGCGTTTCCGTTAGGTCGATCTCTTCTCTTTTTTAGACTTTTGCTGTTGATTTGAAACTAACTGTCCAATTAATAAGTTGTAATTTCAAAACCGTATTTGTACATCTTGAAGAACTTGATGACAATCCAACATTGTATTTGCATGCGGCACTAGTACACGCCATTTCGAGGAAATAAAGTGATATGACTGTATAAAGAAATAAAACGGCATGTAATGTTTGATTCAAACGAATGTTATTTTTTAAAAGATGTTGAGCAGCGCTGATAACGCTATATTTTATTCATCATGCCTGATTACAAATTATAGACAGCAATGTAAAATTTTCATTTAATATAAATAAGTGTTCTCGTGAACCACACATTGGCTTTGTTATTCATACCTATTTAGATGTATGAAATAATATGTTTTTTTTTTTCAAAATGGGTATCCTCAATCACCACATGAAATAGAAATTCTTCTACTTTACATCGGTCTTTATTTCGGTCAACTCATTTTAGGGCATTTAAAGCTGATAGTCATAGCCTGCTGGAATTTATGTGTATACATATAAATTTATTTTTCAGAATTATTCTTTCATTCCTACTTAATAAAATAGTTAAAAAATATGCATAAATTCTTTATCGACGACATCCATAAAAATTTGCGTTAGATCAAGTTAATAAAAATTAATAGTAAATAAAGTACACTTCTTTAAATATAATTATTAAATACGTTTAAATATTATTAGTAATGAAAACTCAATAGAAAGTACAAAATTGAAAAATACTTATATTAACGGAAATAAATTACGTATGAGCGTGTAGAAAGACAATACGTTTAGTAAGCATGAGGAATATTTATTCGTATCTGCATATTGCTTAGCTTAATAGATAATTAATCTGACATGAAGTTCTTCAATATTGGCTCAAATGGATCCATTTTTTATAATCTAAGAAGAAAATGTTCTCCTCTGTCAGCCCCTTTTAAAGTAAAAGGGCCTTTCAAAAATTGCGTTCGGACTCCCTGTACGGCAGCCGGACGCGGGTGAGTTATGCAAGATAACTAGTGGGGTGTCAGCATCAGTGCTCTCACTTTACGATCACTGCGCACTATGCTCCCCGAGACAAGGTGGTCAACATACCGCGCAGCGCCGCTTTCGGATATACTTGTGGCTTTCGTACAAGACAAACGTTAGTGCGGTTTAAAATAATAGTAGCGACATCTGTTGGCAGAGTTATAAAAATACTCAATTTTATAAGCTACGTGTTTGCAACGCGTTTCGTTGATTTCGAAATCTAAAATATATAATAGTCATTATATTAAAATTAAAATATTAAAATAGCCATCTAGAAATTAAAGGAAAGCAATTAACCCAACAAAACTTACTAGCTCGTCAGAACATTATACAATTAATAGAATTCCATTACATCCAGCATTATAATCGCAAATGAAAGACTATTCAAATAAAAGGGCGGCCCGGTCAATTAAATCCGCTCTAGTTAATTAATAATGCAAAGTCTGGATTGAATGAAAATATTAATTTATGCTCGGAAATGACGTTAAAATCACAAAGCAGTTTTATAGTGGATTCATTAAGTTATAGTGAAAAAACAGTCAAAATTCCATTGGCAACTAAGCGAACCATAATAATATAGAAAACATTAGTAATCCACCAAGACTACTAACTGCTTTTTTGTAGACAATAAATGTGTAATTTTTATATATATAATTCTACTGTACGTATATATGTCACTGAACTCCTCCTAAACGACTGGACCGAATTTAATGAAATTTTTGTGTGTCTTCAGGTGGATTCGAAAATGGTTTAGATTCAAAAACTTATTCAAAAAGTTTGAAATTTTTGGATTTAAGCCGTATGTACAGGATAACGTATGTCAGTTCCGCTAGTAATTATATAAACATAAAGATTTCATATTATTCCGTTCACATAAAAGCTTTTGTTTTCTACGTCTAAAATGAATACATCAAATTTGAATGAAATAAAATCTTTACCGGAATGTAAACGATGAAATTATAAACGATGATAACATAAATATATAACGATAAATACATTCTACCACTAATATTGTGAAAGCGAGTAGGTATGTGTTTTTTTCTCTTCGCACAAGAATTGTCCTAGCTTCTAAAAACGATTATTTTATTTCCATACGAATTCGATTTTATCTATCAAATGGTACAGACATCATAGATCGCTTCATGAAATTTTTAAATCCCTTGATTATTTTCAATATTCTTTCGAAAATTCAAATGGCAAAATTATTTCAATAGAGCAGTGAAAATTGGCATTCGCGAGTTTATGAAACAATAGGCGGGCACAATTCGTTAAGAACTTTGGAACCATTTCAAACTTCGATAACTCAGCCTCGTTTGATGTCCGTAGCCAAAGTTGAACACTCTTATTCGTTTCGAAATTATAACGAGGTCATGAATTTCATTTGCTTATTCAACGTTGATATTCACGGGCTTCAATCTTCGAATCTGTTATTACTCATTGAAGAAAAACACTCGAAGAATCTGTCGCAGTATAATTTACAAAATTATAATGTTTAATTAGAATATCTAGTATATCTCACCTGTATTCAAACGAGAAAATAAATAATTTATTTGTTAAAAATGTGAACTTACCGTATATATTTTGTATTAAATTACAGGAAAAGTTACAAACAAATTTTTAATATCTATATAATAATAGGTTGGGGAAAATTTTTCTTCGTATTTTATATGAAAATTCAAAACATTTTTAATTAAGTTTATTTACATTTAACTAAACTATGTGGGTGCCATTTTGTTCGATAACTTTCTGCCATGACTTCATGAAGGTTGATGCTATAGATGATCCCATTGCTATAGAGATTCTGGGGCTTCTGATAAAAAAACCGCGACAAATGGTTTTGGCAGTCCTCTCGTGATGAACCTGACGCTACCTAAAGAATTCTGAGGAGACCGAAAAAAGTAGAAATCTAAAGGTGCAAGGTCAGGACTATACGGCGGATGCATTAACACCTCCCAGTCAAACTCTCTTCCTTTTTGCTGAGTGGCTAAAGATGTGTGAGGTCAACCGTTATCATGACGAAAAATCATACCCCTTTTGTTGATTAATTTCGGCCGCTTTCCCTCAACTTCTTGCTTTAATCTCATCAGTTGTTCGCAGTAGAGTACAGAATCAATGGTCCTGCCTAGCGGTAACAGCTAGTAATGAATAATGCCCTTCCATACACAAAGCATTACCTTGTTGCGAGATAACCCGGGTTTTGCCAGAGTCTGTGAAGCCTGAAGAAGCCTTTAGCCTTTGGCCACAACCTTTTTCGCACGTTCTTGTCGCACATGATCCCCTTTTCATCACCAGTTATCAGGATTTTCAAAAATAGCTCGGTTACATTACGTCGTAATAAAGAAACACAAATGAATATTCGATTCATCTGGTTTCTTTCAGTGAGCTTATGAGGCACCCAAATATCGAGCTTTTTTGTGTACCCAACTTTTTTCAAATGCGCCAAAACTATTTTGTGGTCAATTCCCAGTTCTTCAGCTACATCGAAACTACTGATATGCCGATCTTGCTCCATTTTTTCAAAAATGGCATCCATTTTATTCGTAACAGGGCGCCCAAAGCGAGGTGCATCTTTGACATCAAAATTTCCGGATTGAAAACGCTTAAACCAAATTTATGCTACTCTCACAGACACTGCACTAGATCCATAAATATCACTATTTTTTTTCGCGGCTTGCGTTGCATTTTTACCTTTTTAGTAGTAAAATTTTAAAATGTATCGAATCTCTTCATTAGAATCACTCATCTTAACAGTAAGAAAAACAAATGAAAATCACACATTTTCCTAATTTGCATTTGCAATTATCTTTTTTAAAATTTAAACTTTTGTCATTATACCAAAACCAGCCTGATACAAATGATGTAGCCAAAGAGATTATATTATGAGTACATATATACTATTTGCGAAAAGAGTTTTTCTCCGACCTAATATATACGCGCACAAACACACGTACTCTACCAAATTAGTCTAAAATTAGTGACAAAATCTTATATTTTTTTCAGCCTGGTCCCATTCGCCTAGTTTCACAAACGTATTTAAAAAAAAATTCCTAAATCAATTTGTACCAGTGTGCGCAAAAGTTATTATGGACACATGGACTATGCTCTCATGCCACTTGACTGTAGTGTTTACTTTGCACATATAGTAGTCGCTCATACAAAGCTCTAGATTTCTTCAGTATTATCCGTATTAAGTACAAACGAGTTCGATTGTTATTTATTTTTCTAACCTTTCTCATTCATATTAATCAAGAATATTGATACAAACACATATTTTAATATAACCAATGAAATGTGTTAGCTATTAGAGTATTTAAAACATAAATTTAAACGTAAAATAATATTGTAAGAGAACTCCGCACAATAGCAACTTATATAATGTTGACTCATCGTACCCTATTAAACAAACTACCAAGTAACTACTAACGGTTCACGCTCAAGCTTTCATGTCGAGTTGGAAGTTGTTGGAAGAACATATCGCTTAAAGTTTTAAATAACGATAATCATCGATAGACATCTGAGACTAATATCAAGCTTGAATTAATTTTTAAACCTTTCCTAACACAATCTTACAAACAACAAATCATATTAATAAAATGTGAATAATTAATAATAATAATAATAATCATTACTCAAATTTGTATGATAAGGATTTGAACAAATAGCTTAGACACTGTTTATCTTTAAGACAATCTCAATATTTACTAACATACTCTTGATGTAAGAATCCAACTTGAAAGAATGAAACGCGTCGAGTTGCTTTTATTCGTGAAGTGTTTTCGTACGGCACGACACAGAGGCGAATTTCGTAAGGCTGTAAGAGGATCGACCGCACTACTCCGTAACAAGGCAGAGTGAAGTGGATATCGAGACAAGCTGCGGCCGACCCGAGCGCTATTTTCTAGAGCAAAATCGCGCAATGTCTCCTGTTACTTATTGTTTACATTTTATATTCCCCAATTTCATAAGTTATATACTTATATTAAATAGAGTACCGACAATATAATATAATATAATATAAACGAATATTTAAATTATTATTTCCAATCTTAAACTGTCGGCTAGCCTCGATACACTCGTACATAATTTTTGCATTCTATTTAACGGATTATGTTAATCGGGGATTTTGTTTATGATTGTGTGATGCGCACACAAACAATGTCTGTCTCCATTCAATGTCACGAAGGATTCTCAAGGGGGGTCTTATTAAGCGGAAAGTCTTTACAAAGGGGAGACATTGTAGGTGTGTAGATGCTGAATATTTAAGCTTACCTTGGCGGGTTCGTGATAAAGGTGCGTGGTTGGTGGGGCCGGCGGTGGCGGCGGAGCAACGAGCGGAGCGGCAAGCGGAGCGGTAAGCGGAGCGGGTGGTGCCCCCGGGGAGGTCCCGTCGGTGGAGTAGCCGGTGCTGTAAGCGCTCTCAGGGGAAGACAGGTGCGGAGCGGGCAGTGGGCCGGTGGTCGCAGCAGGCGGTGCTGGGCGGGCTTGTTTCTGCTTTCGCTTCTTCGCCCGCCCCAGCTGCGCTTCCATCCATGACTTAAGCCGCGCGCCCAGCATGCCTCCGCTGGCACCTGTACGACAAAATATCGCGCCGCTGTAACACGTCTTTGTCTATGGGAAATTACTATTTTATACAAGCTCTCACTTCTAATTTTATACATAAAGCTTAATTTCGTGATGTGAATAAGGTATATTTTCATACTGACATTTTTTCAGTTTTCTTCACTGTACAAAGAATTTGGTACGAGTAAAGCCTCTTGATTCGACCGGACGTTAATTAAATACTAACTGTCATATTTTGTATTGGTCAGAACGAAAACAAATGTTTAAGTATTATTGCAGTTATTAGTATTTTCAACCGTACAATATATTAATCAATAAATAATGACAATATTTAAATATTGATGTAGGGATATTTGGATTAATTCACTTTATAATTCGAATTTTATGCTCTACAATTTTTATAACAAATACATATATCAATTAAACATATGAAGCGATATATTTGCGGAAAACGGATTTCTGAGATGCGAATACCTATGAATTATTCGAGACAATTTTTAGAATTCCAAAAGCTTATGCAAATTAACAGCTTTCCGAGATCGATTTTTTGCCCAATTGCCTGGACTATAACTAATGTACATATTTATGTCTCCAGGCTGCTGCTGATTCAATAATTTATTTTATTTTATTTTACATGAATATAATTATTATTTCACGCCAAAGTGAATTACCGATTCTGTTCTGTACAACCCTTATTTTGCGAACCCTATAAATTCCTGAAATAAAAAAATACCGTGACTGAAACATATTTGTGAAGTTATATGAAACCATCGCTGTCCAGAATTTGAATCTGTATATTGAAATTCAATATAAAAATTTGTAATGAAAAATTTTGATATAAAGACACCTGCACAATATGAGCAATTTTATATCATATTGATGGACTATTTAAATTAGATACGATCGTTTATCTACCCGAAATTATGCTTACGGAAAGGCCTTTGTAGTCCTTTAAATTGCGGCTTTTAAAATATGAGGCTTTTAACATTATTATAACTGCTTAGGATCTATCAAAATCGAAAGCATGCGCTATTTAACAGGTCAGTTTGAATAATAGTCGCAATATAATATATTTATTAAATCGCAGAGTAAAAATGTCTTCCAAATGCTCAAAAAAGTTTCAAATCCCACCCACTTCCCATACATGTATGTGCTAAAAAATTGTCTATACACGTACAATCCGACCTTTCACGATGGAATTGAAATGGAAATGATGATAGATCCAAGTGTACCACAGATGCAATAAAAGGGAGCCTACTTTGAATAAAAAGATAAAAGCGCAATCTTACCCTAACCGTCGCAGGAATTGTATCCGAAAACTGCTTCAATAAACATAAGACGAGCGAAGACCGGTTATGCGACTGTTTTGCCCGCGCCCCGTTCCACATTTTGTCATCGGGACCCTCGCTTTGGCGTAAACAATAGTGGTGACATAAAATGTTTTATCACTTCTCCGCTGTTCCGCGCTCCGAGGTTGCCTCTAACTGAAAGCCGTTCAGAGTTACGACGTAGCATGGGACTTTATTCGTAGTATGGTCCAAACCGAGCAATCAATGAATAACTACTTTTAACTTGAGTTTAGCTATTCATATAATATGTAATTTCACTTAGAAAATAACTATTGAACACATAAAGTGAAGCAGCCAACAATGAAATTTAGGTTTTTTTTTATTATGCATGAAAGCTAAAATAAAACCATGAAAGACTGATAATTATATTTTTTTATAAAATTACTAATCAGAACTTTAAAACTCCCTTTTCCCCTTTAGGTACCGACTATAGATACTGTTTGCTCGACCCCACACCCATAGAACGGGTTCATGTTTCGCAAAACTCAACGCAAATGCAAAAAGGGGTTTGTTTGAGATCCTTCCTTTTCATTAGACGGGGATTTTTATAAGAAAATTTGCAAATACATTTTGAAATCATGAAATATGGTAACGTTTTAAATTAAAGTTTAATAAGTCTACTTTGAAACAGTTATCATAATGTATATAACATTATAAATGAGAAATTAACTCTGTCTGTCTGTCTTGCTTTCACTCTAAAACTACTGAACAGATTGAAATGAAATTTGGTACACAGATAGCCTAGAGCCTGAGAAAGGACATAGGCTAATTTAATTATTATTTTTTAATTGGACAAAAGTGTTGTAAAGGGTTGAAAGATATTTATTTAAGCGCTTCAACGCGATCGAAGCCGCGGGCGAAAAGCTAGTAATGTATATTTAAAAAAACATTGAGTAATTACTAAAATTCCAAAAGAATGTCTGCTCATTGAATACGCGTACGGATGTGTAAAGTTTAATTTCGACCAATCGCCACGCCGAACCGTACATCGGGACTTGAACTAATCCAGCTCAACAATCGAGACTCTGTGCGTCTGGTATTGTTTCGACACGCCCTCCCCACCCTCCGACCGGGCTACCCGCAGAAAAGACGGATGTACTCGGCTTATCCGGGCTGGCGAAGGGCCACGGAGTAAACTTGCGCGATTAAGCTAATATTAGCAATCCATTACCGAACAACTGCGGTGGCTAGCGATTGGATAGGGCCAATCCCAATTGACAATAACAATGGACGAGTATCAATACAATTGAAAATTAAAACAAGATTTTACGGTGTTGTCAAAAATACTCGAAACCGACGTTTACATATGGGCCATAAAATAAACGTCGGTTAAAAAGTAAACAGAGATGAGAGAAAATTAAGTAAGTAAATTTTGCAAGTTTGAACTTATCATTGTTTACTCGTTTATGCTATAAATTGATTAATTTATATTTGCAAAATATATGATTTCGTAACGCTTAAACGAAAAAATAAAATAAGGAATTAAATTTGAATGTTGAATATTATTTTATGATTATTGTTATATTTAAAAAAATTACATAGCACAAAGCCAACATTTCGCAAACCCCCATTATAACCGACCAAAAAATGAAAATAAACATATTAAATAATCAATAAGTATAACTAAGACACTATAAACACATTCAAATTGACTTTAACATCTGTTAAAATTTAAAAAAAAAATATGAATTCTAGAGTAATATAGGTATTAATCCCTGAGCCGAATAATAAATATAATATTTAATTTTGATCTGTATTTCAGCCTTTGCCGAAGTACGTGTTAGACAATGTTGTACGTTACTTAATAACATGCTATTTAAGTTATAGTTACAAGCTATGTTTTCTCTTCTATATACATATTGCGTTTCGTTTATAAAAAAGTATTAAAGGCTAATTTTGTAAACCAGATAAATTAAATAAAAAAATAAAATTTAACTTATTTAAAATTAATGTTGTATAGACTTCTGCGTTGTTTTAAATATAAATCGAGCTAAGGATTCACCGACTACCAAAACGTCAAGTCTATTGGTAATCTTAATTTACAATCAAAAACTATTTCTTTTTGCAGAAGCAAATACTTATCGTTCCTATTTCCGGTGCCTGAAGGAAAAAAAAATAACTTAGGAAATTCAAATTGACAATGTTCACACCAATGCATAGCATTTTATCATAACGATAGTAAACTTCACGTTTTTATTCCGCATGGATGGTCAAATTCCTAGTGATGAATCTATCATCGATTTAATTTGTATTATTTAGAAGATGACGTGGCAGATATTAACGGTAAACTTTTGCAAATAACACACATGTATTGGGGCATACGACAAGGCAAAGTTTTGGAAACTTAAATAGGAGACTATTTGCAACTGTGCGCGCCCCACTTACAACTGTCTAACTATTAATTTCGTTACATACGAAGCTTCAAACAAAGGCGACTAACAAACTCGCCATGACATGTCTTGACGGCGTAAACACAGTTGTTGTTACCAATAAAACTCACCATAAAATCTTTTATTGCAGGCGTTCGTACACATATAACGCACAATAATTCTCTTTCATTTCGAGCCGAATTTGAGTTCCTTTTTGTGGTTAAGACATTATAGTACTCTATTATTAATTCTCTACTTACCAACTAGGAATTGCAATCCGGAAAAACGGATCCGGCGTCATGAAACGTTCACCGGTACTAATTAACCGGATCCGATAATTAATTAACAACTTAATCATTTATATTTAATAATAATGTGATAAAATGAAATCTAGGAAGACTAGCTACTGGAAGCTACTAGTTTCATCGTTAAAATTTTACTAGTTAACTACAATACTAAGTATTAGTAACAAGAGATAACAGTTTGAACCGAAACGCAATAATCGTCCTGATTTCATCAATCGGGTCGGATCCGGTCGGATCGATGGGAATCTGAAAATGAAGCCGGATTGCAACGCCTATTACCAATAGGCTAATTACTGATGCCATGTATTACTGAATATTCAATTACAATATTGAATTAATTTATTAAAAATAATAGTAAAACATGTTCTTGAAATCTTTTCATAAGTTATAAGCAAAAAGAATATATTCATAGACCGACAGACGTTGTTCTGTAAAGACGACTGAAATCCGAAAACAACTTATAAATTAAAAGATTTAAAAAGAGAATGTGGACCAAATTGTGAATCTAAACCATTCTCGAATCGACCTGAAGAACACAAAATTTCATTAAAATTGGTCCAGCCGTTTAGAAGGAGTTCAATGACATACAAGTATATATATATATATCTTTCAATGTAACTTGATGAATTGAATTGATAGAATTGGTTGAATTTAAACAACTTTCGAGGATTCTACTGAATACTGAAATGAGCCAACCACACCTACCATTGCTTAATTAATAAATCAGCTATTCATTTATACACAAGATGTCTCCCCCCCTGCTGTGCAAAAGACAGCATGACATAACAAGAGTATCCCTTTTTTCATTAAGTGCCCACTCTGGGAAGAAAATGAATGACAAGTTCCATTGTGTTTTGTTTGTCATCATTCTTTTGGTGTATTTGAAAAAGATGTTCAGATCTTCTTTTTAAATTATAACCTCATAATAATTTTGATACGAAATGTAATTTGTAACATGTTAGACACACCGAACATGATTTCGTATTTTGCACTTAATATCTGATATGGGTCTGATTTATAGCACAATACTACTATTATTGCATAAATATATTTAAATTGCTAAAAAAGCAATGGCGACATATCTTGTTAGAATTATTGTTGTAAAACTATATTCGAAATTGTTTGTATGCTGGAAAGGACATAACAATGGATGCGCCAAGCATTGCTTCAAATGCTAAGAAACAATGTAGATAACAGACGCTAAGATTTTCGTCGGCGTGGCAATCAGCCGTTTCGCTCAGTGGCTAGAGCGTCAGGCCGCGAATGCCGAAGACGTGGGTTCGATTCCCACAGCGGCGACTATCTTTTCGTACTTTTTCTACATATTTTAATGTTTCATCTTAGGTGCAGAGATTAGCATTATAAAAAGAAAATTCTAAATATATTTATTTATGGAATAATAGTAGTACAAAATATATTATTACATATTTTGTGATTTTGTTGATTCATCTAATAATGATTTCAGAGAGTTATGCGATTATTAAACCCTGTCGTAGAATCAGTTTTTCAATTTATTTCATTTTATATATATATCTTTATTTCAGATTATCAAGGGGAATACGGATGGTCCTTTGACCTTTGACCTTTAGAATTTTAATATCCTTTTTTTATTTCAGATATTTTTAATTTTTTATTCGCTCGGGGAAAATAACGTTTAAGAAAAACAGCAATCGGTAAAAAACCCCGCCTTTGGTCGGCAATGGACAAAGCGGGGCTGAAAACATTTCAGTAGGTTGACCTGTATATAAAAAATTCTTTCAGGCAACTTGAAAAAATCCCGAAATAGCGCCGGCGCGGGGACTTTGGGCTAATTGCGGGCCGCTTTCAGTTTTGTGCCTTACAGGGGTCTGCGGAACAGCGAAGGAAGTGGAAAGCTGAATAGCCCGCGCCAACGCCCTACGATTCATTCCCAAGCCATTATGATTTGAGAATCTCCATACGTTTTAATAGCGAGCATACAAAGAGTGACAAAAATTGCGCAAGTAGTCTTTAAATTTTTAAGAAATGAAGCTCACAAAACTTCGCCCTAGTCATCTATTTAACTTGTATTGTATTTGTTAAGCTAAATCGAGTTTTATTTGATCGTTTTTCATTAAATAATTAGTTCAAATCAAATTCGAGACTCATGCCAAGTTTCATTTCCTAGCACTCTAGTCAGGGTTCAATGAACCGTATGCGCTCCTGCAAAATAATAAACTACCTATCGGATTAAGAGCTATTTTATGTTGAGCTATTACCTAATGCTGAAACCTTTTCTCGATCATGTAATAAAGATAAAATAATGTGTAAATTGAGCCATTGATCTAAAGAAATATTATTGCGAAATATAAAGGTTTTGTCTTATTTCGTTTTTATAATCTATTCAAGATAAAAAATCAATTTTTAAGTTTTTTCTGTGAAAGGCCGAAGTTAGGTATTAAAGTCTGTTTTAAATACAAAAATATAATTAGTTAGTATCGGTGTCTACTCTCTTAAAGGTTAGTAAGCATACTGCAACACCATTTGCGATGTGGATGTCCTTGGATTGATGGGCGGTTCATAGTTAAGTGAACTATGAACCGTGTGGCTATTCTACAAAAATGAAACGCACCCCTGAAGTCAACAATAGTCAATACAATCTCTATAATTTTTAACCATCAAATAACAAACGAAGAAATTCGAAACCAATTGAATTGGATTAATTAACGTTCTCATTAAATAGTTTTTCTTTAAATGTGCTCAAACTGAAATGTTTTATTTGAAATTGCTTCAATTAAGTAGATGTTCAGAGTAAATTTTAGTCTTCATTATCAGATGTCAATGGGCCCATAAGCAATGATTTTTTTGAATATATTTATACTCTTACCTAAACAAATTAAACACGCCATAACTACTAGTAGTAACATTAGGTAGCAGTTCCGAAAAATTCCCAATAATGATTATGGTTTAAGACGCTTAAATACACTTTTTTAATGAAAATTATTAATGAGGAGTTCTCTTACCCGGACGGGCCTGACCATTCGTGCAATAGTCGAGTCTGCTGCGTGGCCCTACCATCGTTAGGGTTATTTATATTAATTACGGTACATTATTATATCATACAACATAGTGAATAAATAACATAACACTATTGATGATTACATCTATAGTGTTATGTAACATTATTTATAAAATTGGGAATATTATTATTTCAATTAAGCAATTTTTAATTCAATCGGATACAGCCTGTCAATGTCGGTAATCAAGTTTTTAAATTATCTATTAAAAACAGAATTCATTAAAAAATTTCATAACATTTGTTATACAGCTTTACTATGAATAGCATTAGCAAGTATTTAGTAATATTACATAAGAGTAAAAAAATAATATGTAAATTCAGACACGTGCCACTCATAAGAATAAATTCATTCAAACACGTGGGCGGGATTGACGAAACGAAAAACCTAACTGAATCGCGATGGATCACTACAAATCGTCCGCCTTTGAAAACCCATTTAATCTGAATTTAGTACAACCCTTCAGGAGGGATCTCTTGGAAATCTCTCACAGGGGCAGTGGGCTATCGAATGAATTCATTCGTTCAGTGCGTCGGGAAGGCAAAGCCGGCTAAATATAGATGCACGTGAGCTAAGGGTGGGCGATTTTATGTATTAAAAACGTAGATTAGACTGTACTTACTACTAAGGGATGACTTTAAAGTGATTTATTACTTACAGGGGCGCGCGGTTGTATGAAGATGATGGAGTGTGATATAAGGGGATGCCGCAACGCATCCCTTGCGGAGGGCGGCAACACGCGGCGGCCGCCGGCTACAAACTGACGCACGCACGCGCGTCTCCCCGCCGCTACAACGCTACGCGCTACGGCGCTACGTAAGTGCGTTAATTCATTTTCATTACATGTTTTTTTTTTCATGTTCTACCGGCTCCGATCGAAAATGTAATAACTGAAAAGCGCGGAGGTGACAAGCAGATTTTTTTTCTTAAATGGTGATAATTTCTGGCTATGGACTTGGTACAACATGCAACACAATAATACTATAGCGACAATATGTTACGTCGAGGTTAAAATTAGTTATTAAGTCAACTGTTATTTACTTCATTTCTCTTCGAAAAACAGACTTTTTTATAAGGCAAAATAATCGCTCGTTCCTAAAGTGCCGAGTTAAAGATACCCACGGGAATTTAACACGAGTCCCGGCACCGATTACACTAATGTACAGGGTAAATTTGGACAGTAAAAATGAACGAACGCCGTCTCGTCCCGATGATAAACTGTTGAACGACCTAACTTTGATATTTGTGTAACGATATGAAAAACAACTGACACCCGTTGATCCTTTTCCCAACAAATGGCATAAATTATACAAGCTAAAAAAAGTAAAAGTTCGCGATATTGATGTTAATATTACCAGCATAAGTGTTTATTGCATTACACAATCAAATAATACATTTTGTAAAAATTAACCATACAGAAAACAATAACTGATGCAAATTTCAATTTCTTATTTACCTTATGTTATAGTTTTTAATATACTTTTTAAATCGATTAATTAATATTTTCTACATTATAATTGTGCAACATTTATGCAAAACAACCACATATCAACAAATAGGTTTCTCCACGTCCACGGGAATATTAAACTACGTCTTATGGCTCAAAGCTAGGTCAAGGTGAGCTCTACTTCAGAAAAAAGAAATTAAAAGGTAATGTCGCCTTTAAATGCAAAGCATGTTACAAAAAGGTTTCTAGGTTAAGAACCATTTAATGCATACCTTAGCCAGCTTTTCAAACCGAGTGCGCATAAACCGCTCAACGTGTTTAAGTGGCTACCTTATGGAAAATGAACCTTAATCATAATAGTAATACAATCGAATTTCTCGTAACATAATAAGGATTTTTACAAACAAAAAAAATACGCTGCGTGCGCGTTATTTAAGGTTAATCCATTTTAGGCTGACTGTCAAACATGCTTTGTTCTAACTCGCGTTTTAATTGTTATTGTTATATTAAACGGGATTAATTGAATTAAATTTTATTCTCTCGCGGAATTTTCTGTACTTTATTCTTATTAAGAGTAACAAAGGAATATATTATTAATTTTGCTGGAAAAAAATTTATTATTGTCGTAAAGACTTATGTTATTATGCATGTTTTTTTTAATAAAACTAGTTTACAGATTGTATCCTACCCAACTCTTAGAGCCTTATCCTTTTTTCCACAACACCATGGGCCCTAGGGAAAAAGACCTCCCATAAGACGTGCAAACGAAATAAGACATTAAGGTAAAACTCGACGCTATCATGACTTCCGTTTACTTCCTTTTTCTTTGCTTTTATCCATATCAAGCTGAAATACCGAACTGAAATATTTATAAAATGGCGTATTTTTACACGAAGTTCTGCACAGTACTAAAGGCTCGGAAATATTTATGCTATTTTGTACGTCATTTTAGAAAATTGTGATAATTTGATTTCATAATTTCGTATTATAATAACACTTATCAATCTTTTTTTTTGCACACGCAATTAAACCCAGCATGATTTTACGAGAGTTCGAATCTCGTAAACGGACATGGACATGGATTGCTGAAAACTTCGATAACGTAACCGTCGTGCACAGTACAGACTTATTGAATATAAAATACAATTACAATTTAAGTATAATATCTTTATTACGTATAGAAACATTATACTTACTTATTGATTCTCCGAAAAGAAGCGGCAAAAGAAAGTTAGCGCGGCAGTTTTTTCTTTATCATGATATGACAAAAAAACATGTTTAGGTACAATATATTCAAGTTCATTTGAAAGACCCTGCGATCGATTCATCTCTAGAGTGTGGTTATCATCCGGGTTACAATCCGTGTTATATCCGGGTTTTAATCACTAATATTATAATTAACACACATACGTTCCTTTACATGTTTTTCTGATTTTATTGAATGATTCATTATGAACGTTTACTAGGTTTTCGTTCTAAAAACGTATACATTGTCCCATAAAAGATTTACTTATTTTTCGCAGTCTAGTTATGCGAAGAATCAATTTATGTTCCTTTCTAGTATTTATATCATACTCATGTTTATATTTTGAAAATTCATTCTTCTTTTCATAGATAAAATATTTGACCTTTTAAAAACCGTATCTCCGTAAATACGCATAAATTAATTGACTGAAATTAAACTAACTGCAGGTGGCATAGAATCGTAACAGTATGTGGGGAAGGAAGAAGAAAGTCAGTGCACTCAAACAGACAAAAATGATGATGATGATGATGACGAAACAAAAATGTCTGAAACGAATCTGGCTGAAAGTGAAACCTAGGTCCGTACATAACTTTCAACCTCCAACATTTTAAGTCTAGTTCTAGTCCAAGAATTTTAGTCAAAGAGAATTTTGTGTGTGAATGAATACGTGTTTTTTAATTAATTAGTCATGAGAACTTCCGGCAGAAGTGAAAATTTAAAACTGGAATAACTATACCTTCTGCATATTTACAATTTTTTTACTATTTACTATTTTTTAATAACTATTTTCTGCATATTTTAATGGAATAACTATGTTCTATTTTATTTGAGTTTTAATCATATATTGTAACATAAATCACAGAACACTAATATAGATTACAAAAAACCTATTTTATTTCTGACAATTTAAACCAATTAACAAGGATATTGAGTAATTAACTTTATATATAATTTTTCTGTACGTGTGTATGTCACTGAACTACTCCTAAACGGCTATACCGATTTTGATATTGACTTAGATGTTTGATGATGACATTTTTTCGTCAGGTCGATTAGAGAATGGTTTAGATTTTTTTTTGGTTTTTTTATTTATAAGTTATTGTCGGATTTAAGTCGCGTATACGTTCATTACATCCTTGAATGAAACCGTAACGTCCGTTAAAGTTAGGTAAGAGGCTAATTTCTGGTTGCTCTGGTGCCTTATACTACACTCGTAATTTTCCGAGTATAAATGAGAACTTAGGAGCCAATTACATTTTTATCCTGTTTATTGCGTGATTTTCACGACTGATTAAAATAATGAAAACAAAAAACATTGACAGAAAACTTGCGTATGTAAGAAATAATTAATATGTACTCACGGTGGTAGGGCCACGCAGCAGCCTCGACTGTTGCACGAATGGGCAGGTCCGTCCGGGTAAGTACCACGACCTCACAGAAGACCAGCGTAAAGTGGAAGTACCACAAATACTTTCGCGTTTCGTCTGGTGAGTGAGGTAGCCGGAGCCCAATTTTCAAAAGGTTGTCAACGCATCTAACCCTCGGGTATAGCAGATGTCCATGGGCTGCGGAATTCACTTACCATCAGGTGAACCGTCTGCTCGTTTGGCAACTTTTCACATAAAAAAAAAACAAAAAAAAAAACCGTAAATACCGATGATAATTTATATTAGTATAGTATATGTAAAATATCAGTGGTATAATATGTCCACTTAACCTATGTACCTTTATCCAGTAGTTAAACTAAAAGCTTGAACTTTAAAATGTTAATATAATAAATGTATTGCAAAACAAAACTCTTTCCTAAAAGGCCGGCAACGCATTTGTGAGCCCTCGGGTGTTGCAGTTCATGGGCGATGGTAATCACTTACCATAAGGTGAGCCTCCTGCTCGTTTGCCCCTTTTCTCCATATAAAAAAAAACAAAAACAAATTAATTCTTATTTTTATACTAGCGACCCACCACTTGCGAAGGGTGCAATTTACTACACATATAAACCTACCCCTTGAATCACTCTATATTAGTAAAAAAAACCGCATCAAAATCCGTTGCGTAGTTTGAAAGATTTAAGCATACATAGGGACAGACAGACAGGGAGACGACTTTGTATACAGAATACTATGTAGTGATTCGCGTTCGAATGGACAGTGGACACCTTCGCCTGGCGAAGCCTTACTCCTTAACAAGATTGATGTACAAGAACAAGAATTCATAGTGATGTATATGTAATGTAATAATAGGTAGCCTCTTTCAAAATTGACATTGCCTTTTGCCAAATGTTCGTGGACGGCGGTAATCACTTAAACCAAAAAATTTGCGAAGGTGTCAAATTCTGTTGCACACTACACTACAGTCTTTCATTCCAGATACCGTCCGTAAAAGAGTTTAGTTGACATTTTGTTTTTTATTAAATATCTATCGATGAATGTTATTTGGACATCTAGTATCAGATAAGACCAATCTGTTGTGACTGCGAAATTAGAAATTAACCAACCAAGCTGTTTCTGTATACAGCGTGTCGTTACCATCGCGATAATAAATGAACACATGTCTAACACTACTTGCCAATAATCATAAAAAAATATTACCGTTAAAAAAATTCCGTAATTAAAAAAAATATTTATCGAACAAACTAATTAAGTAAAAAACAAACAAAATTTGTAACATCCTATACAACTACATCTGGCTGATTCATACATTCAGAGACTTTTTCATTCGTTGCCACAGCGTCGCATTACAAGCCTCTCCTTCTAGCAGTATGTTTTGTCTCTTTTAAATTCATTCAACCCATTGCTTTGTGACCTTTACAAATCAACTTTACGTTACAGTTTTATACTATTGTTTTAAAATTCTTTGTTTTGGAAAATTTAATATAACTCGGTAAATATTGATGTTTAAAGAATGTAAATGTTTAATACAATTTTAAAAAGTTATCCTCTATATTTGTTTTCATTTATTGTCGCGATTGTAAAGACACGCTGTATATTAGTACCAATTACTTAAAAAAATTACAATCTTTACCTACTTCCTTCATCGAATTATCATTATCAATAAATTTCTCTTAACAATAAATTCAAAATTATTCAATTAATTAATTAATCAATTATTTTTACTTCTATGGAAAAAATTGTGACTAAAATTATTATCTGACGAAGAGTTAGTAAGTAAGTAGTTAGTAGGTAAATTTATCGGCTATATTAGGTAAGTAAGTAAGTATCCAATAGATGGTTCATAAATCGAAGATATATTGCATTATGTACATGATAATTATGAGATCCCTTGAGTTTTGTTAACTTTAGGGTCGTAATTGGTACATCATTTAAAGACACACGACGGCATTTTTATTATTGTAAAATTTTTGATACCGCGTCTTACTGGCTCCCCTAGAAACGAGATGTCCCAATTGGGACGTTTTCGTAGCTTCACTTCAGGCGAGTTAACAACATATCTACAGTTTAAGTAAAATATCATTAAATACCCAAATCATTTTCTGATGAACTACTTCTAATTTAAATAATTATAAAGTCAGAAACCTCGTAGAAAGGAATTAGGCATTAGACAGATTAATAATTACATTACTCTACTAAGTTATTTTTAATAAATCTCGATAAAAGATTTGTAACCTTTCATCGATATTTTGTTCATGAAGTTTGAAATAAATTATAGAAAAAGGAAAATCTTGAAAGAAAAAGAATAAAAGTAAAATCTAAGTTTATATTATTGAAAAATGGTTGTTTTTGGCTATATTTTTAATCTTTATCCAATTTTATTTATTCTTGTAGTGCTGTCAAATAGTTAAATTTATTGAAAGAACTCAAAGACCTGAAGGTATTTCTAGATGGAATAGTTTTCGCCTTTTGCCTGTTTTGCATAGTTACTTCATGTAATATGTTATAACTTATAACTTTGTTCAATAATCTAGTGGGTGCAGAAATGTATTAAAGCATGTACGTAAATGTCAACTGTTATCTGTGTAAACAAAATTTACATTCCGAATCAATGCTCTGAATCATAATGAAAGTCAATATAGAATAACTGGAATTAAGGGCAGTATAAAGATTAGTCTATATATCCTTTTTTGGTCATAAGAAGGAACACCATTTCTTTCAAATGGCGGAAAACTCGTCCTTTGTTGCCAAGCCGGCGAGAGGATGGCTTCATCCAGATTCTATTCTAGCCAGCGACGGTATAACATATGCAGTGAGAGTGAGTTGTATTTGTTAACTTCTTCATCTATAATTGATTATGTATTATGTTATTATAATTTTTCTAATAGTAATAAGACTTCTTGATAATGTTCTTTTTTCACAGTACATTGGCTGTATGGAAGTTTTAACATCTATGAAAAAATTAGATTTTGACACAAGATCTCAAGTTGCTAAGTAAGTAATGCACTATTTGACCATAGGGTGTGTTCTTTAAATTCTTTTTCCCAAATAATGACTTACTGTTGTCCTAAATATTGCATTTGATTTTTTAATGTTCGTCAATTCTTTATAATATGAAATTTGTTTTCATTGTTTACTATTCAATAAATTTACATATACCATAAATCTCAGTGACTTTCTCAGGCTTAATATTTGTTCGTCCTATTCATCTTTAGAGCCGTGATAGCTGTGTCTAAGCACAGGCTTTTACTATGCTAATTCTGTATTCAAACATTTCTCTTACATGAGAAAAAATAATTAAATAATTAATTTCTTTAAAATATTATAATTCTAATAACATGTATATAGATGTAATGTCTAAATATAAAGCACAAAGATATTTTTTTTAATAAAGTGATCCTAATTGGATTGCAATTTATTTTCAAAAGAAAATTATTGTGGTAAATAATTAACATAAACAGTAAGTTATTACCTAAAGTGATAGTATTATTTTGCCATGACTTAGCTGGGTTTGTTTGGTTCTTTATATTTAATATTTCATCTATTGTAGTTTTAGTATAGATCTATTTAAAGCACACATATAGATTAATAACACATTCCTTAATTTGGTTTCCAGAGAATGTATAGCCCGAGTTTGTGCAGCTGCAGGGCTAAGATCAGCAGATAAAAAACGACGCATTAGTCAAGCCGCTGCATGTGCACTTGCCGCCAAACCCCGAATGTCTCACTCTGGGTCCAATGTTGCGCTCACAGTTTCATCAAAGGCTATAACAATAGCAGCATTGGAAGGAGGTGACACCATCGCCAGACATGACATGCCACGAGTTTCTTTCGCCTCTGGTGGTGACTCAGATTCTTTGGATTTTGTTGCCTATGTGGCAAAATCGGCCCCGCCTACAGAATGGAGAGCATGTTATGTCCTCGAATGCGGTGGAATGTTGGCCCAAGACGTGATTGCAACTATTGGACAGGCTTTTGAATTGCGGTTCAAGGAGTTCTTGACAAAACCTTCATCGTAAGTAGATGAAATTTATCTTATAACATGAAATCAGTTTATTTTAATTTATAATTTTTGATATTATATTTAGTAAAACATTTTTTGTACTATAAATGATTTAAGTATATCTAATAATTTATATTTCAAACTCAAAAACGTTAAGCTTTAAATTTACTGTAAATTTAATAGTAACTAGTGACTAATGGAACATAATGAATATGATTCACACATACAAAACCATATCCATATTGAAACTGGTTAATAATGGCCTACATTTTCGATAAAAAACAACTCTGCTAACTCAGGGACAGAGAATGCTAATATCACACCCAAAAGGTGAAAATGTGTATCATAGTAGAGTAAATTTCTTTTTTCTCATTACAATGTGTACATTTTGAAAGTTATCATATATATAGAAATGAGTTGTAAGAAAATTAAAACAGGGGCTTTTAATTAATTTTCAATAAAATTAAGTGTTTTAACTATGATAGGGCCACACAACAGCTTTAGCTGTTGCACAAATGGGCAGGTCTATCCGGTCAAGTATCACAACCTCACAGGAGACCGGCGGTTATCACTTAACATGAGGTGAATCACTGGCTAGCTTTACCACTTTATTACATAAAAAAAATACTAAGAGGAGACCTGAGAAGGCCATAGTCGCGCCGGTGTCATCGAGTTTTAGTGTTCCCATGTCCCGACAGTGCTGATGCAACGTTGATTTTTAGTGCGTATTCATCCTTTTCGGGACTCCCACATATCATTGCCACTGCCCATATGGCGGGGCATTCGTAAAGGATTTGTCCAGCGTAAAAAAATAAATATCCAACCGTCAAATAAATAATTCCAGGTTGAACTTGAACGGATCGCGGCCGCTGTGCTCGGGTAATGGCCTGCCTCCAACGGGGCCGATAGACGAGCGAGAGTACTACAACGACCTGCCCGACAAGATCCCCCCCGAGCCGACGCCCACCTACCGCCACCCCCCGCCGCCCCCTCTGGCGTCTCTCGCCCCGATATCCTCGTAAGGGCGACACAGTATCTATATAATATTAGACTATAGATTTTATTAGAATAGATCCTCTAAGTGTGGTCGTTGGGATATCTTATTGTTCGAAGGCGTTTTTTGCCTGTACGCCTACCACCATAATTCACACAAAACACGCCATTTTAAAGCTTATTTTTGCCCCTATTGACACAATATATACGTGTAGAATAAAGTTAATGTTATAATTTTTATAATCCCTGCACTTAAGATGAAATATTAAAATTTGTAGAAAGAAGTACGTAAAGATTTTCGCCGCTCTGGGAATCGCACCCCCGCGCAGACGCTTTTCGTAATAACTTATTTACGCTATCGTCATACTTCGTCATCCTTAACTTGTGCCTCAGGTGCGAAGAAAGCGTCCGCCACTACGTGAACCAAACACCACCACCGCGAACCCCACCCACGGCGCTGCTGCCCAACCACCACACGGATATATTCGACATGCGTGAGTATTCCACTTCGACCCCATATTCGGGATATGGTCCCTTGCCATTTTTTCCATAAAAATAAATCAACTACGAAACATCAAATAGTTATACATGGTCTGAAAACACAGGCATGAAACTCAGACTGCTGTATATTGTTTGACTTTTGGTTGTGTCTCTCCCGTTGTGCTCTTAAAAAAGGACAAAAATGCACATCCACGAGAAGGAGGTTTTATGTTGCTTGGAAACGCTTTGGTAGGGCCTTTTTTGCTGTACGAATGGGCAGGCTCATCCGGGGAAGTACCACGGCCTCACAAAAGACTGTATTAAGACTGTGTGTATTATACATTCGCGTTACGTCTGGTGAATGAGGTAACCGAGTAGGTAATGAAATAAACGCCTACTTTTTTTAAGGCTGTCTAGACCTAGACAGATAAACGGAAAAACAGTAAATATTAAATGTATAGTAAAAACAGAAGCAAAAGTTAGATTTAGCAATAATTTTTCATTTCGGCAATAAAACAAGTTACCTTTGATTTGTCCCTAATAATGAACATTATGTAGGCGATTGATAAAGAAATAATAAAATATCGTTTAAACGACACCATGGCTAAATCATGTATTTTCTTTATAAATAAATGTATTATTTTGATTCGTATTTTGTATAAATGAAGTTGTAATAAAATCTCTGGTGTACTATTTGTACCTGACTGGTTTTAGTTTCATTAAGTATTAAAAAGGAAAAAACAGTTTCCTATAATGTTTCTATAATTTTTAAGTCCGCCAAAAAGAGTAATTCTAACGAAGAAATTCTAAGCACTTAGTGTAGTGTTATTACAAAAAAGGGGAAAATAGCAACACCATCCGCGAAAAAATTATCACTTTCATGGACCTAAGAAAGTGTCAGTAAGAGAGTAGCACAAAGGGGATCAAGAATAAAATTTCTTCTAAGACCTAAAATATTATTATAAATCATTCCAATAACTACTCAATATTATACATTTACATTTGATTGTCTGCACTATTTTCAGATACTTATCATCAACAGTAAATACATTTTTAAATTTTTAATTTATAATTATTTTTAACAGTTTACACATAAAATTTAGTTTATATAATATCACACTATGTACGCAACACTTGTAGGTTATGCGCACAGCTGACAGCACCAATCTCTCAGACAATGGATTGAGACCATCTGACGGTCTAGCATCGCGCGCGCTAATTGGTGAAATCAAATAACACGCTTTCCCGTCTTCCTATTACGCACATCCGTCCTTTTCCACAAGGTAGTCCCTACAGATTGATAAAAATGAAAGATGTTACAGATAAATAATGTCTGCTATAAGATGTCAAGGTACAACCTTAGTTATTGGATTTGCGCAGAGCCGTTCAGGCACGTTTATATAGTGTTAGGTGCGTCCCTTATTTTTCTTTTACTTCTTCCTCTTGCCCTTATCCCACACTAGGTGGGGTTGGCACAACATGTTCTTTCGTTTCACTTTCCTCTACCAGCCGTCATCTCAATACTAACGCCTTTCACAGACATCATTCTTCACACAGTCCATCCAAATGTTTCTCGGTCTTCCTCTAGCTTTGCACCCTCCAACCGCATTTATATTCCTTCCATCCCTTCTCATAATGTGCCCCGTAATATTCCCATACCATGTCAACCTACCACTCCTTATTTTCTCAGTCACCGGTGCCACTTTCAAGGTTTCCCTTATATCCTCATTTCGGATTTTATTCTTTCTGGTTACACCACGCATCCTCCATTCAACATTCGCATCTCCAACACATGCATTTTTCTCTCAGTCGTCTCTTTTGCTGCCCAACATTCAGATCCATACATCATGACAGGTCTAACCATAGTCTTCTAAACGAGATAATTAAACATCGGAGCAGACTGAAATGTGGTAGGGCCACGCAGCAGCCTCGGCTGTTACACGAATGTGCAGGCTCGTCCGGGTAAGTACCACGACCTCACAGAAGACCAGCGTAAAGTATAAGTATAATACTTTCGCGTTACGTCTGGTGAGTAAGGTGGCCGGAGCCCAATTTTCAAAAGGTTGTCAACGCACCTAGAGCCCTCGGGTGTAGCGGTCGTCGGCTCGCTTGGCAACTTTTCACATAAAAAAAAGACTGGAAGCTTTAGCACACACCTTTTAGACTATATGCGTGTAAAGGTGCGACCCTAGTGAATGGATTTGCGCAGAGCCGTTCACCGCGGCGCCGGTGACGTCACCGTGCGCCTCCTCCTCGTCGGGCGCGTCGTGCACCTCGAGCGCCTGCCAGGGCGCCCCCGCCGAGGAGCCCCTCTCGGCCTCCGCGCAGGCCGCCCTCCTCGCCGCCGAGCCCTGGTTCCACGGGCCCATCACTCGCACCACCGCCGAGAAGGTACCGTAAGCCCTTTTGTGCGCGACAGTACCTCCATACAACCGGTGCGTGCTTATGTGAAAGACGACACTTTTGCATAGCTGTAGGTACGTTTTGCGCGACGGTACATTTGCATGCTGAGGAGTGTAACGCAGTAGCACTCGACGGTACACCCATGTACCGTCGATGATGTGTGCTATTTTACGCGACGGTGCATTTGCATATAAAATAGTGTAACGCTGTTGTGCTCGACGGTACGTAGGTCCGACCGATGGTGTGTGGTTTAAGACGGTGCAATACCGAATTATTAATAAGTACCTAAGATAGTACTGTATGACATTTCATTGGTGCCAACAGTGACTTCATGGCATGCATAATTCCCGGTTCCAGCTGGTGGTGGAAGACGGCGAGTTCTTGGTGAGGGAGTCGGCGGCGTGCCCGGGCCAGTTCGTTTTGACGGGGGCGAGGCGCGGCACCCACAAGCATCTGCTGCTCGTGGACCCCAACGGAGTGGTGTGTAAACTTGACTTATTACTCACTGGCAGGCAGAAGATTTAGGTTTGCTGTCGTTAGGCCGCAGATCGACATATGTAGCTTGTAGTGGTTTTTTAAGGCCATACTACAGCTTCTGTTGCTAGAATGGGTGGTCTCGTCCGGGGAAGTGATTTATGTGAAAAGTTGCCAAGCGAGCAGGCGGTTCACCTGATGTTAAGTGAATACCGCCGCCCGTGGACATCTGCTACACCCGAGGGTTGCAAATGCGTTGACAACTATTTTTAAAATTGGGCTTCGGCTACCTCACTCACCAGACGAAACGCGAAAGTATTATACGCCGCAACACGCGAGGTCCCTGTGACCACGACCTCACAGAAGACCGGCGTGAAGTGGAAGTATTTACCTTTGCGTCCCGTATCGTGAGTCAAGTAAACGGGACCCACTGTTTTAAAGGTTGGCGACGCACCCGCATAACCTCAGTTGTTGCAGATGGTGGCGAATAGCGATAATACCAAGGTCATACATGAAAAAAGATGATGTAATGTGCAAAAATCTGTTCTGTGGCTCGGAGTCTTAATAATTGTGAAGCTTTTACCAATAATTATATTTTCTTTTATTTCTACATTCTTCCAGTGCTACATGTCTGTTATGGTATATCTCATTTGTCGTAAAGTCGAGGGAAAATTGTTTAACTGTATTAACATAATGTACAATGTAAGTAATCGTAATTTAGGTCAGAACAAAGGACCGAGTGTTCGAGAGTGTACCGCATCTGTATCAAGTACCATTGCACCAACGAGCTGCCAATAGTGTCGGCCGATTCCGCTCTCCTGTTGCGGAAGCCAGTTCTAAAAACTGGCTCGTGAGACAGCTGTCCCCTGTTCAACTGGCTACGGCTAAGCGTCTGAGCCGGTGGTCCTGCTAAAATGTCGTATGCGTCTTTCGACTCCAATACTTATGCAATGACGTGATGTCGTGATGTTCGGAAAAGTGTCTTACATTTAAACGCAGCAATAATCCCCATATCATGAATGTATGTCTTGCTAAATTTTTTAAAGGCGATCAGTAGCACGTGGCAGTGCGTTGATTCCCAATTCGCTTTTGTATTTACACCAATAAATGGTAATCTAACGGGAAGCTAGTCTTCCAGTGATTTGAAAGCAATTAAATAAGTAATATTTTGAATTTTAAAAAGACATTTTATTATATACAATGTTTTGTGATTAGACATTGATGTTTGACGTAATTTTATTGCAGATTATTATTATTGACTTATTGAAATTTTGTCTTGTAGGAATAATGTTTATATTTTCTTGAGACGAGATACGTTTCGAATCTTAGGTACTTCACAAGTAAATTGATTTTTTTTGTTTAACTGCTTCGTTTTATAGTTTTGTGCCAATATGACCTATTTTCTACTACTACTACTTGAACTAAAATCTTCGTTTTAATAGAATACTATTAATCTCCGCCTTTAAAATGACTTTAACTTGGCGGTTCAACTATGAAGGTGTCTTCCGTTCTCAGATATAACAATTTAATTTAATTGTAGTTGGATGTAAAATTTTACTTTCTCATATATTCCATAAACCACATTTACTTCATTTGATTATAATGGGATAATGAAAAACAATTCTATATTTTAAATCATCTTAATCAATCAACAACATTGTTATGTCACCTCTTAAAGTTGTTTAAGCCTAATTTACTAAGGTTATTTGATGGAAAAAGTACTTAGAGCACGGGTTTCGCTCTTTTATTTACTAGAGAAATACTCTGTTATGACCTTAATTTAGTTTTAATATATCTTATACTCGTGTTGCCAATGCTTATTTTTAAAGTAAAGAAATCATAGTATAATTCGAATTTTATAAGCATAACAATAATTGCATAGCAAAAGTAATAACATACAATGTAATTTAATGACGAAAAACTGAAATGAGGCATTGTTAAGTATTGTGAATTCCATCTGTGGAGTATAAAGATGATATTTCAAAATTCACTTATTCCCATGTGCATACCAATACTGTTCACATGTGCATGCCAATATTGTTCAATAAAAATTGCAATGTGATTTGTTACGACGAAAATAATCATCAATTGTTTATTTACAAACATGATCCTTCCATTATCATAATTATACTTTTAATTGCGCTTTAAAAAGAACTTCCATTGTATATAAAAAGTAGCAACATTTATTGTTATTATGTTAAATTAAGCACTTATGTACTTTAAACTTCTTTTCAACTGACTTCAAAAAAGGAGGTTTCTCAATTCGACCGTATATATATTTTTTTATGTGTTCGGGGATAACTTCGTCATTTATGAACCGATTTTGATGATTCTTTTTTTGATGGAAAGGAGATATCCCGAGCGTGGTACCATGATAAGGAAACCCAGATTGATGATGGTATCCCAGAGTAATCGAGGGCAATGCTCAAATGTATGTATAGGTGTTGACAATCCTTTTAGATTCTTGTTTGAAGTCAATTTGTTTTTGTTCAAAATTATTCTATATTTCTTTGCAAGCATTAATTTTAATGAATTTCTTATATAAGCAATTTTAGGAATTGATACAGTTTACGAAATGGAGACCACTGTCTCTACTTTTAAATTAATTTAGATAATCTAAGCTTTAAATATTGCTGTGCAATTTTATACCAAATTATAAACGCTAAAATAAAGCACTTCTATTTTTATATAACCGCATTTAGAGTGAAACTTTGTTTTTAGACTTTAATATATATATATAAAACCTAATTCATTCCAACTAATTTTATTCATACTTTTTTGTGAAGCTCTCTGCATACATTAATATTTTATAATAATAAATAAATATAATACATACATAAATGTTAGACGAACGTGAAACTAATAGGTGCTAATTAAGCTTACTTAATATTTAAAATCTGTATAGTTTATTGTTTAATGGAATGTAAGTTATCACAAAATCTATTTTTTTTATAATATGTAAGACTGCTTATTTTTTAGATTTATTTCTATAGAAACATATATCAATCAACTAAGCAAAATCGTGTCATTTTGAATGCTTTAACAATTCTGTTTCAATCAAGACAGTTTATTTAAGCTATTAATTTGTATGACTAAACTAATTCCCTATGTGATAAGCACAAAAACATTATTATTATTATAGATTCTTCAAATATGTTATTCAAATATCTTTATGAAATAACGTCAATAAACTATTTTAATAACAATGTAATTTACTTTTTTCCTGCCCCTTATACTTCAAATTGCTTCTCCAAGACTCCAAAGCGCCGTCAATTACCCCCGCAATAGTAAACTTCCCGCCTCGCCGTGGCAGAGGGGCTTAGTAGCTGTAGCTTACTAAACGTGAAGCTTAGAGGAACCCACACTGGATCTGCCTGTGGTGTCCGTGCCGCTCCGAGCGGGCTTATTGAGTCCAATCAGGATGGGGGGTTGCGGAGGACAGGCTGGCGGCGGTAGAGGTGGAGCCGCTCTCCCAGTCCCCTGCAACCAAGGTGGAATCGTAGGGGAAGAGGAGTGTTGGGAACGGCCGCGCGGGGAACTTGATGATGATATAACCCGATGCGTAGGAATGTTCCCCGCGTCAACATAAAAAAAGGCTAACAGCCTAATCCAACCTCCCACTGACGATGACGATGGCGATAAAATTGTAATTTTAGATTATGTAATGCCATTTTACATTTTAAAGATCATTTAGTTTTAAAACAAATGTAGTACATATTTATATGTAAGCCACTTCGATAAAATTTTATCACATATCTAATTTGAAATCTTACCATTGAGAACATTAAAGGGTTAAAAAAGAAAAGCGCATTGCGTACTTTAATTCTTTAATAAAAATGTAATATTACAATATAAACAGTAAGGTCATACATGGCAGTGATGTTATCATTACTTAAAAATACAAAGGTATTTACTACAAAAATTCGACTCCATCATCCATACTCTAACGGCGGCCGAAACGATTCTAGACGCTGAAAAGTAATACATTCAACATTGAAATCTCACTAACAAATTCATAAAACTTCGAAGAGAAACAACCAACAGTAGCGTCGAGCGAGAATCGTCTTAGCCGCCTACTGCCACCCCTGAGTTTACTCAGATTATCCGCTCTAATTGTACCAATCCAAAAAAAAAAACAATAATTATGCCTAATTTCATTACAGTCCAATGACACCGATCGAACAATTTCGTTTAAGTCCAAAATTAAAAATAAATAATTTCTCGGATCTCAAGCATATGACAATGCTTACTGAGTTGTGAATACAGTGTGAGTTGATTGAAACGCTCTCCAATAGTAACATGCTTATACGTGTATAACATTCTTTGGGACACAGCAGCACTATTCACTAGACCCTCCTAAAACGCAGGATCCCCTCAATCCGTGCCATATACTTAAATCTACTATTCGCTATAATGTACTAAATCGTTTGAAACTAAACACGTCAAGGTACGACAAAAAATAAATAAATACCTTTCTATACAAAATAACACATTTAAGTGGTGAACACCTGAGCACTTGAGACCTAGCGGATCGACCCGTCCACGTTACTTAATACCACTCCTAGCTAAATAATTAAAACCTATCGTCTAATCTTAAAGGAGACTGGGCCACCGCCGATATTTAGAAGACGTTCGCTTATTATTACCGGCTATTTTTTTTTATTTTTCAGTGCCAAATTGACTGAGCAGTTATATCAATATCTCTCACAATTACAAAAGTGATCGAGGAGTGTATAAAACGTTAAAAGTTATTCTGTTATAAAATTACGATTTATCACCAAAATATACACATCACAGTGACAGCTCTTAATAATCACGCAGTGTAGTAAAAATAGATCATGACCGTAAAGGTTTGGTCAAATATAACATACACAAGGGTACGGGAACTAGCTAGCTTTTAATACTGTATACTATTAATAATTACAAAATCCAATTTTTGGGAGCCCCCACTCCACTTCTATATTCAGAAATATGTATGTATACTGCTGTAATATATACGAAGACATGAAACGGCAAATCAAACCGGTTAATATTTAAGACAAATAAAGCTTCTCCTTTAATAAAAGGAGACTATACACTCTCACACAAAAACAAGTACGACGGTCGACGACATCGTCCAGATCGTATAAAAAAGTGTAATCCCATCTGAATAAATTTGTACCCTCGACGCTTCTATGGTTATAAATCTAGCAGTTACTTATGACGCGAATATGGATCGTCGAAATATGCTAAGTGCAAAATGTAGTGAGTAAAACTCGCCAAAAATAAATAATTGACAACTTTTGTGTGGACAAAACATCATACAGGTCCCATGTTTAGGATCGGACCCCGGTCGGGTATGCGTGGCCTTTCGCGCCTATGTCCCGCGGCGCGTATGAGAACGGTGTCACAGTGGCGGGCGCCTGTCTGAGTTTCGTTTCGGTCGGTGCGGCCGTGGGTTGGCGCGGGCGCCGATCAGTCCGGCGTGGGCACCGTCGTGGGCGCCTGCGCGGCGGCGAGCGGCGTGGCGGCGCGGTGCAGCGTGAACGCGTCGTACACCTGCGCCAGCTCCTCCGTGTGGTGCTCCTCGAGGCAGAGGAAGCCGGCGAGCGTGGGGCTGACGCGGCGCGCGCACGCCAGGCAGTGCACCACGTGGCGGCGCTCGTGCTCGCGCACCAGCAGCGCGTGCCACACCTCGCGCTCGCACGCGCCGCAGTAGTGCGACGCCTCGCCGCGCGCGCGCCCGTGGAAGCGGATCGGCACGCCGCGCGCGCGCACCGCGTTCAGCGTGCCGGCCGCCGCACGCAGCGTCTGCATGAGGCACGTGCGCATGGCGCGGTGCAGCCGCGGGTCCGACACGCGGATGTTGCGCGCCAGGTTCCACGTCAGGTGCACCATGGGCACGATCGACTTGAAGTTCTGCACCTTGTTCCACTCGTAGCGCTCCAGCGCCAACGAGTACTGGCGCGCGGTGAGCGGGCCCACGTTCCAGGCGATGTTGTTGCACCAGCCGGTGGCCTGCACCCAGTGCACACAGCCGGCGTTCACCCACACGAGGTCGCCGGGGCGCTGCGTGAACCTGTACACGGGCACGCCGTGGGCGCGCAGCTCCTCCGGGTCGGGCCACCACGAGCCGTGCAGGTACGACAGCCCGTGGCGGTCGCACAGCTCGCGCACCCCGCCCCAGTACGCGTCCGGCACCCCGAACCACTCGCAGTCGCCGGGGCCGATGTTGATGTTGATCGAGCAGAAGTTGTTGTTCTCCTGGTGGCCGGGCGTCCGGCTGCCGGGCACCTTCATGTACAGCTGGACGGTGTTCATGCCGAGGATTACGTGGCCGACGTGCGAGAGCATGTTCGCGGCGGAGGCGACGCGCGCGAACGCGGGCAGCTTCTGCAGCTCGGTGAGCTGGGGCCGCCACTTGCGCTCGTCGGAGAGGTCCACGTTGGTGCCGAAGCGCAGCATGCGCGCGCCCTTGCGCCTCTTCACGGGCCCGCCCGACTCGCGCCCATCCGAGTCGGAGAGGGTGCCGCCGGCGGAGTGGTGGGGCGCGGCGCCGCGCTCGCGCTCCTCGCGCAGCGACTCCTGGAAGGAGCCCGCCTGGTACTGCGCGTACTTGCGCACCGTTGTGTGCGAGCGGTGCGAGGCGCACGCCCACACGCGGCGGCGCCCCGTTGGGTCCCAGTTCTCGTCGGCGGACTGCATCAGCTGCGTGCGCACCTCCACCGCGTGGTCGGGCCACGCCTCCACCAGCGTCTTGGTGGAGAAGAGGCCGAGGTCGAGCTTGAGGGCGGAGGTGAGGCCGCGCACCACGGCGATCGGGTGCTTCAGGCAGAAGTCCTGCAGCTGCGGCGAGAACGCGTCCCGCTTCGACTCCACGTAGACGAAGGGCGCGGGCGGCGCCAGCTGCTCGGCGGAGAGGCGCGGCGAGGGCACGGCCGGCGGCTCCGGGGCGCCGCACCCGTCGCCCAGCACCGACCACGCCGTCGGCGGACCAGCGTTCTCCCTGCGCAGCAGAAGTAGGGTCAATTGGGCGATTTGGAATAATTATAAATGCTTTTATTCTGTAACTTGGCACTTTTTATGTATTTTAATGGCATAAAAAATCATCATCATCCTCCTGCCCTAGGCGGGGTCGGCACTACATGTTAATCATGTTGGAAGTGGTTTTGGCCTGCCTGACGTAAGCCTCCTTAGGAAACAAGCACCCAGATCCGGAACAATTATGTGTGGAATCGAACCCACGACCTCCGACGCCGATCCCAATAGTTTAACAAGGGCGCCACCGAGTCATAGAAAAAAATTACACTACGATACTCACTTGCACGCGTCGAGTATGTTCTTGGAGCTCATGCCGATATTGAAGGCGACGGGCTTCAGTGGATCAGTCTTCAATGGTTCCAATTTCACGACGGGCTGCCGGCCACCGAGCACCGCCTCGCTGCTGCTGCTACCACTACTCGTATTTTCTGCTGAAGAAAAGACATATTTTTAATTGTTTACACACTTTTCCTCAAAGCCCTATTGTAGCTGACAGACGATGAAGCCAGTTAGGGAAAATACGAGAAAATCATGGCGAGAGTGAAATAATATTACGAAGATGAAACGTGTTACATATTTTATTAAATTACTTCATTTATTGCAATAGTCCTAAACGAAGTGTAGTATTCATTATTTAAGAAATATGTACAGTTAGTTCTAAACGACAGAAAATGGTGGCTAAAACAATCAATGAGTTAAGATAAAGCGAATTCACCTGCATACTTGTAAGAAAAACGTATCGTATCTTGTGTAATAAAAATTCATTCTTTGTTTATCGAAATAATATCGAAAAGATAAAGATCGGCACATAGTTTTACTTAATTATTGATTCGGTTATGTTTCTCTGTCGATTAAAAATATTTGTATAAGGAAAACAAGCATTTTTATGCGAAAAGTTGTCAAACGAGCAGACGGTTCACCTGATGTTAAGGCGCTGTATGCAGTGAATTTTTAACTATTTGGGTGGTGAAGTATGAGGAAGCGGAGGAGGGGTAACGCCGCTTAGCGGCGCGCAGCGCGCGAGTTTCGTCGACGCGCCACTAGTGCAAGTCATTCTTTACTTAGTGTGTGTGTGTGTGTAGTGATGGGCCGTAGGATACTATACTATCGATAGTATCATGGAAGGCTTTCGAAAATGTACACAGTTGACAAGTGTTGAAAGTATGAGAAAGCAATCAACAATTTAAAAAAATCTGCCTATTTATTATAATTTTTTTAATCAAATGGAATTTTAAAGAAACGGCTCATAAAATTTTTGCACAAATTACGAATACAATTTCTTTTATTATTTTTTTTTATATATTAGGAATTTAATTTATACTTTAAATGTTCAAGACTTAATATGTTATATTACTTTCTCAACTAAAATGAAATTAAAAAAAACTATCGATAAGATCCATATTTGTATCGATAAACGACAGCAATTATAACTAGAATCGAAATTTTGACACTTTCCACAGAACTCCGGTGGTCCGAGCCTCATACACAACGGTAAACTATTACTGTAGTACCAAGTTCAAACCCTCATCGAGTGGAGTTGTATTTTTTATGTTATTTTCACTTTTAATTTGTTAGCCAACTAATTATTTTGTTTTTATTTTATAAAATGCCTCAATTTGGGAAATAAACAAATTAATAAAAAAATTATAAAACAATTATTTTTCGAGTATAAGATAAATTTTCGTTTTAGGGTGAAAAATTAAATATTTTAATAAAAAAAATAGATGACGTTAAAAAATTTTAATACTAAAATTTGGTTTATTTACTGATAGATTGTTCTCCAACTGTTTCAACTTTGAACAAATACAATAATATTTCGTTGTAATTATTTATGAAAATAAAAAAATCAACAAAAATGAAATGGTAATTAAAAAATACTTCCAAATAAGAAAACAAAAATAAGAACAACAAAAAATTTAGGTTTTTGAACCCAATCCACAAAGAATGATTGTCCTATACACTGTATGTATAGGACTGATAGACCAATCAATCACGAAATAAGACATTCAAATTACCCTTTAAATAAATTATTAACAACTGTTAATACATTCAAATAATTTATAACTACAAAATATGTAAATATATATTTTTTAGTTTTGTGTTTTCGAAGGTCTAATAAAATTAAAACACTCGAAAATAAATAAATACGAAACATATTTCGTAACGGTGCGCGGTCGATGAGCGGCAAAGTCCATCTAGCAAGGCGCCTCAGCGCTCTCTGTTCAACGTGTGAAATTGGAAGAGAGCCGAAACAACGCCGTGATGGCGCGGTGTTCTGGCCATCGCGTTCGAATTAATTTTAATAAATTTAATTAATATTTACAAATATCTTACTTCAATCAAAAAATTAAGACAACAGTCCTTTTTACTAATATATTCTACACCACTGATATTAATTTAATTAAGATTTGTTGCTGTATTACGTTCAATTTTGGATTTGAATTCCTCTTTTAGAGGTAGTTTCATAATTTTTTTTCTATCGAGAAAATATATCGAGAATATGTTTTGGAAACAATGTTCCATTCGAATGTACGATCAAGATTAACATATATTTTTTTTTGCTGCTATTAAATGTGTAGATTTTGCTAAAAAATCTTTTGAAAAACCTATTTTTACTGCATACAGCGCCTTAAGTGCCACACCCGAGGGTTACAGACCTTTTGAAAATTGGGCTCCGGCTACCTCACTCACCAGACGAAACGCGAAATTATTTGTCAAACTTCCACTTTACGCTGGAAACGGCTCCAAAGCTTTAATAGGACTGAAAGCAGTGTAGACTTACTATATTTAATGATGAAAAAGTAAACCACCCAAAACATATTTACGTGAACCAACATAGTAAAGAAGTTAAGCCAAATTACAATAAGTTTTAGTTATTAACTTTAGAAAATATTGCCTAATCATAAAATAACTCTAGCAAAATGTTACACTTGAAGATTATTATAAATTTATAAATCTGTTATAATAGATACCTATAAAGTAAAGTAACATATGTAACATGTAAAACAATTGTAATAAATAATATAATTAATATTGTATTATAAAACATACTTGTACGTCTCTTCATAATGGCTGCGGTTTGTCAATTTTAGACACGTGTCATCTGATTTAATGAAAAAATATAATGACACCAAAAATAGTACGACTATATTTAATTTTGCAGAGCGTGAAAACGAAGAGAAATTAATTAGTTAACCAACATGTTTTTGTGTAGCCATTTTTCTATTTGGTTTTCAGTATTAATTTTTAAGAAAAAATATACTAATTTTCTTTTAAACACAACTCCAATAAAGATAATAACTTCTTTCAAAGAGCTACTTTTAGTTAACTGTCATAAAATGTACGTTAAGCAGATATTCCACAGTAAATTATCAATTGATTACAAAAACAACGTCATTTTGTTGCATAATATATATTACATTCGGTTTAAAAATACGTATTATTCAATAAAGTATCGATGCAAATCGATAAGAACTAATATAACAGGATATTCACCGTAGAAATTACACGATACAAAATTATAAAAAGTTAAACAAGGATATTGCAGAGTCGAAACAAATTTTTACGGCGTCATTGTCGCGGTTACAACAATGCTAACCATTTTGAATAAAGAACGTTTTGTAATAAAAACTTATGTGTTTGGGCGAAGTACGTCAGAAATTGGCGAAGAAATAACGGATTGATCGTCAACAAAGGCCCAAATAAAACACTTTTTTTTTACCTATTAAATATAAACGTCTCTCTCTTCCTTTGTGGTTAAAGTAAACGCTCCTACAGTGGGAGTATGTTTATCATTGGATAACAAAAGTCTAATACATACAGTACGTATTTTTGTAATTGGCATTTTTTTAATTAAAACTTATTTCTTTAAAATATTTTTTTAGAAGCCTTAGTACTCAATCAAAAACAAAAATTAAATTTGTATATGTATATAAAGCTTATCGTACTTATAATAGTAGGATTACCCTTCAAAACACAGAGCGATAAGTACTGCGTTGATTAAGACACGCCTCGCCAAGAAAAACTCTGAAAAAACCGACACTCAGCTTTGTCAATTTTACCAAATAGAATACAAAAATACTAGATGACGAAACAGATCAAACTTTTTATAGATATTTTTTTTTCCACCAATATGATATACGTGGCAAAACCCCGGTATTTACAACATGATGTGTAAAGTATACTTTATTAACCGCAAAAAGAAATATAATCACCAACAAAATTTACATAACTGTCTAATTATACAGCCAATTTCAGAAAAATTCATCCAAGCAAATCACAAACCTAATAAAAATAATAAGGTAAATTTTACGTAGGTTAAAAAAATCTCAAAATATTAGAATTTTTGTCATTATAAATTTTATGTCATCATAATACATGTCATTATAAAATAATGATACTATTGTATTATTTTATAGTATGGTACATCGAATTTCTATTAAGTGATCTCGATTTGGGCAACCACATCGCAACCATTTGCTAATTAACGAAGTAGGAAGTTTGATATGGTTTTCGCGAACAATTAACTCTTAATTTTCTAGTTACATTTGAACACTCCAACAGGTAAATGAAAAGGAAAATTGTTTTTAATTATGTAATACATGAAGTTAGTGGAATTGCTAAAATTGAAACCATCGTTTTCTTTTGAGTGGACGTCATTGTAGTGTAATTGATGGCGTATGGAATACGAAGAATCGAAAACTCCATCTCCAGTTCACCATTCAACATTCCTAAATTTTACCGGAGCAACAGTAATACATTTGTTCTATAAAAATATTTTTTTTACAAAAAATAAATATCCTAATTAGTTATGCTGATGATATTCTAATTACCTGTTTTAATAGGTATCTTCACTTATAAAGCAAAAATATGCATAAGCTGGGAAAAATTGGGAGTCATTCACCCCTTGTTTTTAATTGTATAATTGGCTTATGTTAAACCAACCGGTTCATTTAAAAACAAACGTGGCAGGATGGTGCTTGCACCTGCTCAAAATCGCCAATCCGTTGCACTTTTATTGTCTCTACAATACGAGTGGTTGACAGAAAAATGTCTGCACGTTCGTAGTAATTATTGCAGCAAAACAATACCTCTAGAAAGGTTCGAAGCGGGGAAAAAATTGCACCTTTTGTAAAAACATTGCAAGAAATCTAATCTATACAGATAAATAAAATTAGAGTGTCTGTTTGTAATATTAAAATAATCGCTTTTTACTAAATGCATATGGATGTATACACGGTACATATACCAAAATATTTTTTTTATATATTGTCTGTCTGTCTGTTTGTTCCGAGTAATCTCTGAAAGGGCTGGACCGATTTGGACGGGACTTTCACTGACAGACAGCTGATGTAAAAAGGAGTAACTTGGGCTACTTTTATTTTAGATTTTTCTTATTTTAAATTCCACGCGGATGAAGTCGCGGGCACAGCTAGTATTATATAAAATTCTCGTGTCACGGTGTTTGTAATTGAGCTCCTCCGTAAGGGTTCGACCAATTTTCGTGGAATTTTTTGTGCATATCGGCCAAGGTGGAGAATCGGACAATATCTATTTTTCATCCCCCTAAATGTTAAGGGTGGTCCACCCCAAACATTTTTTTCTACCCTACAAATAATTTATATGGCAAAACAACGTTTGCCGGGTCAGCCAGTCTACGTATATAAATATAATGATAGAGGTTAGCCTTTGTGAGCGCATCACAGAAATACTACTGGATTTATTCAATTAATGTTAAGTTTTATTTCTTAGACAATTATATTACCTTATCGAAATAATAATTGTGATATCTTCATTTAATGTAAAGTTAGTTTTAAGAAACAACGGTTTTTATCCTTCATATTTAATGCATCGTATTTTCGAAATAAAAAAAACAATATTTCAAAGGTATTCGCGATCAAAAATGTCCCAAATTCGACAGTTCGTGGAAAGTTCAAAGATGTAAGCAAAAAGGGAACAGCACATAATAATTAAATCCTTGTATATATATATATAGAGATGTTCTAAAATTCTGTGTTTAGGAAAATTTGATAAATCGGTAAATATTGATGTTTAAAGAATGTAAATCTTTAATACAATTTTAAAAAGTTATCCTCTATATGTGTGTTCATTTATTGTCGCGATTGTAAAGACACGCTGTATTTTTCTTCTTAACGTCCGCATTATTGTAATTTTATATTTCATCATAACTTTATCAAAAATGCTTTTATACTTTTTGTTGTGTCTCTTCTGTCTGTTACAATGTACTTTTCACTAAAAGTTAAGCTTTGTTAAATCTCATATAATAGTTCAGATTCGGTGTGTTAATAAATAAATAATGGGATATCAAGATGGTTGGGGTATGTTCCTTTTTTATTTCAGATGTTTAAACCACAAAAGTTACAAGCATGGACAAACTTGGTAACAATTGATTTGATGATGCGGTTGACAACACTGGTTGTGGCCTCCGTCTCGGATTGCCCACGAAAGGTACGTATGTATACAACATCGTTTCATTGTAACCCGACATTAAAAGGAAGGTTTTTAATGAGATTATATTTTTCTTACGTATTTATTACCTCTGGATTCGGACATCTATGAACCGTTTTTTAAATTTCTTTTTGCATTAGGTACAGTTTAACTTCCATGTGATATATGAAGTTTGTTTTGATTTCTTCGTTAACAAAAATGTCATTGTCGTTCAAGTTATTAGGGACGTTTGGCCAAGCGGAGAGTGAGTACATTAAGAAGCAACCATTTCTATGATGACGGCACCGTGTGAGCATAAAGCGACCACCCGAACAATAATCCTACCTTGAGCATATGACAAACTCAACTTACTTGTCGGTTCCTTCTTGATGTCCGGCTGAGAGTCTGAGAACCTCTTCAGCAAATCCTCGGCGAGAGACTCCGCGCTCTCGCCTCCGCTCGCATTGCTACCTTCGCTCTTCGTCACCTGCGAAAATTTCAACAGTCAGTTTCCTCACGTGGCAACACCGAGCCTAAGTGATTAAGACCTGCCGCCATTATGGAAGGGAAGGGGGACTGGGAGTGGGGGGAGGTGTTAATATACAAACCGCACGCGCCCTCGCCGCTTGCGCCAGCCGGTATTGAGAGAGCAACTGCTGCATCAGCGCCTGAAAACGAAACGGCGTATAAGAATACCATTCACGTAGAGTCAATTCACTTAATTAACGCAATAATGAATACAGAACACCGACATCGAAGCTAAAATAAGACGAGACGGGAGAAACAGTTTCTATTGGAATGTAATATGAACTTCTCGGATTTGAGAAAGAAAAGGATCCAAGCGAGCGGCAATAATTGTTGAAACGGTCCAGACATACAAAATGTATAACCGCAGAAATAAATTGCGTTAAGCTTCATCCCAACGCAAGATTTCTAAGTCACGTCGTGATTTCGATGAAGTCTGTACTACGTTTAAGAGTTTCGCGCTACAGCCAAAAGATGTCGCCCCACTGATCGGCGCAACGGCAGCCTGACTTGCTCGCGCATTACTTATCACTCGAGACCGCTAAAACTCCATCAATAACAAAACGTTGCGTCACGATCGCTTTCATAACTGCGATAACGGAAGAACTTCACGTGGGGACACGCCGTTAACAACACCCCACTACGTGTTGTACTCGCGATAGCGATAAAGCGCCGCGATTTACTTGTTGCTGCGGCGACAAGTTGTGCGAGTTCCGCTGCAGGTACTGGAGCGTCTGCAGCTGCTGGTGGTTCAGCGGCGGTGGCTCCTCGCTCCTCTTGCCCGGGTAGGGCGGGGGGGCGGACTTGGGCGCGCGCGACGACATCTCCGCCGATATGGGCAGGTTCCACGCCTCCTCTATGGACGGCAGCTGGCGGCGTCTGCAAGTTGACGCTTGTATTTGTATTTTGTACTTTGCGTGGAAGGGATTGGATAGTAAATCCCAACGATGACCTAGAAAGATCTACAGTAGTCTTCGCTAATAAAAGAAAACTTTGCCACCTTTAAATTAAGATATCTTATATTAGATATAAGATTACCGTGTGTTGTAAGGACGTTTTACATACGTAAATCTCACGTGGACAGACACCCAGATCCGAAACAATTATCTGTGGCTCACAAAAATAGTTGTCTCGTGTGAGAATCGAATCCATACCCGGCCCCAAAGCCAATTTTTGGCAACTGCGCCACGGAGTCATCGAGTGAACATTGCGGTGTGTCCGCTGTTGAACAAAGAATTTTACGATTTCGCTAGTAGGAGTCCTTCCAACGCTACGATTTCCGATTTTAGATCTAAAATCTATTACGTTTTCCCCATTGGTTCGACTCATTAAGTTATATTCAGTTTATATTCATTGCCGCATAAACTTTCAAATCCGGAGAGCTGTATCGGTGATTCCGGTTCATCGGAAAATTTCCCCTGTACACATTTAATCGCGTATGAAGCTGCGAGCAGAACGTTTTCAATAGCTATATTTGTGATGTACAACAGAACAGCATAGTAGTCGCGGAAGAACGGAACTGGCGGGCTTATTGACCGCAGAAAATTCACACGGCCGCTTAAAATTGGACGCTATAGTATCGTCTAATAAAAGATATCTTAAAAAATCGATGTAACCGTAACACCTTGATATTTAAAGAAGAAATCTTACACAAATAGTTTGAATCTACATGAAGCAATAAGAGTTCGAAGAAAACATTTACAACAACGTTTCTTTTATTCTTATTTATATTATCCGCTTTATCAACGACCTTTCGCTGTATACCCATCGTGTTAGGACCTTATTAGCTCTGAATACCTAATACATGTTAGCTTAGCAAGGCGAAAGGGGCTTAATGCGATTACGGCGCGAGCAATTTTCACAATGGCACAAGGCTCTGGAAAGAGCGTGAACGCCGGCCCAGTTTTAGTGGGCCGTGTGAACTCGGCGCCGACGGAAGTACGGCGACTCTAACGGCATTGAAAAGGACTACGGTATAGTCGGCGCGATAAATAAATATATAACTAGACACTGCCGTTATTATTTGTTTTATGTGACAAGGTAGCAAACGAGTTGGCCGTTCACCTGTTAAGTGATAACCGCCGCACATTGACATTTGCAACAACCTTGGGGTTGCAGATGCGTGGACATTTAAATAAAATTGGTCCCGGCCACCTTATTCACCAGACGAAACACAGAGGTATAACACTTCCACTTCACTCCGGTCTTCTGTAAGTCGTGGTACATACTCGGACGGACCTACGAATTCGCGCAACTGAGAAGACTGTTGCGTGACCCTACCACAGTTAATATTAAGTTGTTGAAACGCCAACTGGTTTTGTGTGGGTGGTTGATAATTAAACAAAATTCTCCACTCATAAAAATCGGGTCCAATTAAACTTTTATAGGCAATTGTCAAGGTGGGTGAAACAACATAATTACATAGACGCGAGATAAGACGCCGAAAATAGTTTTCTATCGAAAATATTTAGCGTTCGCATAAATGTAATAAATCATCTTTCGCATCGACAATATCCTTAATTAGCGAAACACTTGGATGTACGGTGCGAAAAACTAATGATAATTAATTAGAGAGAGTGCAGTGAAGCATACGCAGTAGGAACTGGTATCATAGCACCGCCTACACAATCACACGATTGGTGCTGAAATCACCTTGCAAACGTTAAAGCTTTAATTACAGTCTCGGCTACAGCAACGTAACAAGTGCAGTTGTGTGCATTAAAGTAGTACTTAACACAAATATAAGAGTATAACGTTATTAATATACAGTTTGAAGAAATTATTATGTATATATACACGATGGAAAGTATGACGACACAAATTGCAATAAATGAAAACAAATCATGAAACAGATAAAAATCGACATAACACCGCCGAAATGAATAAAAGAATGAATCAACGATGTTTGTAGAGTCGGCGAAATCCTCGAAATAACGCGGCAATAGTATCGAGGAAATAAGACTGACGCTAAATTAACCCTAATAAATTTTAATCAAGGGACTTCGTACATGCTGCCGTCGGCGGTCCAATATTCACTCGACGAATAAATTAACGTTTCCAGGTCACGGATATTGCACAGTGCTATAAATATTTCTGCAGTAAACATTCAACACCAACCGTGTGTCGTTGTTGTTCGAAGTAACGTCACGGCCTTACAAGAGAACGGGTTGCAGCGGAAGTATAATAATTTTAATACTGTTTGGCTGTGGTAGAGGCACGCGACAGTCTTCTCTGTTGCACGAATGGGCAAGTCCGTCCGGGTTAGTACCACGACTTCACAGAAGACCGGCGTAAAGTAGAAGTGTTGCACTTCTGCGTTTCGTCTTCTGAGTGAGGTAGCCGGGGCCCACATTATTAAGAGGTGGCAACGCATCTGCAATCCTACGGGTGTCCATGGCAGCAAATATCCATTGGCAGGCGGTTATCACTTAACATCAGGTGAACCGCCAGCTCGTTTGATACTTTCTCAAATTAAAAAAAACACTTTATTTATTAAAAAGGCAACGCATCTGCAACCCGTCAGGTGCTGTATATGTCCATGGGTGGCGGTAATCACTAATCATCAGGTGAAATGTCCACTCGCTTTTCAACTTATCACATAAAAAAGCGTATCGCCTTTTCAAACGATACGTTTTATTTATTATAACGCATCTACAAACTTACAGGTGTTATAGGAGTCTATCGCTGACATTAATCACTTAACGCCAGGTGAACCGCCTGCTCGCTTGCCACATTATCACATAAAACGTAACCGTTTATAATTATTTTAAACCTTACTTCTATCTCTAAGACTCTTCTAATTATAACATCACACAACAACTACGTAAAAACGGATACGAGAATAAATTCGGACGTTTGCTTAGAGTTTGTTGTCCTTACGACTTTGTCAAGGTCTTGCAAAATTTAAATAAGTGATCTATTTCTTACTCGTACACTCGTGTCATTAGCGACTCCACTAGCGTTAAAACACATTAAGGCGACCGGATTGTGAGGATTTTCCTTCAATTGATATCAAGTTAACGACCGTATATATTCAAAAATAGATCGTAAAAATATTAGTTCCACTCACGTTTCCTGCTATGTTCAATATAAATTCAGGGCGGATGAATAGAGACGTCACTCCTTTTATTAGTGGAAGGTTGAAAAACGTTACACACAATTTACCCATAGGTGTTCATTTATTACGCGGTTGTGACGACACGCTGTATACGTGTATATAAAGCCTTTTAATGCAATATACATGTCGATGGTGCAAAAAAGATTAAGTGCAAAATTCAGTTAATATAAAAAAACTACAGTATTTTTAAAACGTTAAAACGAAATACGGCGATACAAAAACAGTAATTTACGCCGTTAACAAATCATTATAAACATGTAAAATTCCAATATGGCCGCTGAAAGAATTTCTTCTTAAAATTCAAAAATAGAACGCGGTCACTCACTTGCCCGTCACGGACGGCATCGGCGCGTGCGCCAAGTGCGCCCTCAGGAAGGCGAGCCGCTGCCTCAGCGGGGCGTGGGCGGCGACCGCGGCCGAGCCGCCGTTGCTGTAGCAGGCGAACGCGTCGCGCGCCATCTGGCAGCTCTCGTACAAACTGCCGAGATTCGTCCATGCGGCCGAGTGGCCCTTGTCCAGCTGCACCGCGCAGATGTACGCTTGCAACGCGTCCATAGGCTGGTTCTGTTGCTGGTAAAGAACCCTGTTGGAAGACATGCGACAATTTGAGCAACCAAATAGAACCGTCGCATTAGCAGAAAGACATCAACATGTCTGTCTTTTACTTACATTATAATGTATTCCAACGTGTCTGTGGTGGTTTTCTAAATATATTTTTTATTGAGAATAAAAATACATTCGAAAAATCGATTTAGATTCAGCCAAGACGGCACGAATAGTGACATACACTCTCCAAGCTCGCTATCATAATATCAGAAATAACGAATTAATAACTACTAACTTATCAGTCGAACAAAAAGTAATAGAACAACATAACGATGTAACAGCACTGACCCAATGGAGCACCACGTGTCCGCGTTGCCCTCAGACTTCTCCACGGAGTTCCTGTATGCGATGAACGCGTCGTGCACCTTGCCCTGGGCGGCGAAGCACCTCCCGAGGAGGTACAGCCCGGCGCCCGAGTCCGGCTCGGCGGCGACCGCCCGCTGCAGGCACCACACCGCCGCTCGGGCGCGGGCGGGAGCCTCGCCCAGCGAAACGCACCGGTGGTACAGCCAGCCTACGTTCACGGGAAATTAGAACGTAGACGATTACAATAACGATTGTATTCGCTTGAGACTGGTTCGAGGAAACTCTCGATTTATGAAGACCGATGTAGTGTTCCCTACTTTGTACCAAAGGCAGTACCGTCTTTACCATAAGGGCACACGGGGCCTGTGCCCAGGGCCCCAGTCGTCACGGGGGCCTACGTATTTTCTTAAAATATAGAGATTTTATCCCTATTTTCGGTAGATATATTCCGGCAGAAGTTTATAGGATAAATAAAAAACATAAGAATAGCAGAAAATTGTTTTTGTCATTCACGTTTTGTACTTTCCATCATTGCCCAAATTTGTGTACCCTAGGGCCCCGATATGACCTAAGACGGCATTGACCGAAGGCCGTATTAAGGTCTTGGGATGAAGCTTTAGTCGACTACCGACTGTAAGCGTAACATTGGTGATGTAAAGATACTTTTTGCGCTTGCATTCCATCGTCTGGCGATTGAGGTAAGAGGTGTTGTGAAAGTCCATGCGCAACAGTGATCACTTAACATCAGGTGAACGATAGATTAAGTTATTGTCTCAAAAAAAAAAGAAATAGAATTACACCTTCAAGTCAATATTTGAGTTTGGGCGGTAGAATGTGAAAGTGAAGAATCACGTGAACTTTGGTCGATATATCAAAAAAATAATTATACAATAGCCGAGTTGGCCAAGTTGCTAAGTTATAAAAACAACGTAAGCGAGTTCGATACCCGACCGTGACATGTATTTGTATGACCTATGAATGAATGTTTCAAGAGTAATTTGAATATGTAAAATCCCGTCTGCAGCGCAGGATACGCTTGTCATTTACGTTTTCGTTGGCACACATCGTATGGGATATTAGTTATCATTTTGAATCTTATTATTTTTAATAAGGGTCCATCATCTGCTATAATTCAAATTTCGAACGAATCAAAGAACGACGAAAAATAGTATAAAACAACAGTGATATAAAATAGAACACGTTTCGAGTACGCTTACCAGATACACTAGTACAGCTCAAACTTACTATCCGAACCGAGCCGCGGCGCGCACAGATAAGCGACCGTATGCTTTCATATCCGACGGGCACTTGCGAAATTGCCTTAAAAATGCAATAGAACTAGTTTCGCCGCGACACGTTTCCCATCCGCAATAAAGAGCTCTTTATATGGAAACCAGTTCCGGCGGACGCTGGGGAGTGGCATTAGGTCATGCCCCAACATCTGCGAATGTCCGAAGCGGGGTATTACCGGGTCGTTCTCACGTGAGTTAAAAAAAACCGGCCGCGTTATGTAAGCTATGCTGTGGTGCGCGTTTTCAATTGAAGCAAACAACGCGCTATGGCAACAACGCAATAGTGTTGCCATGCCGACTCGGATTATCGCTTTTCGATAAACATGAAAGCTCATTATACGTTCCGATAAGTACCGCAATTTCAGATCGATGGCGCACTGGCTGGGTGTGTCGGTTACGGTGTAAGGTGCCGCCGGTTCGATTCCTGCACGGAAAAATTATTTGTATGACCTAAAGATAATTGTTTCGATCTGAGCATTTGTGTATGTGAAATGTATGTCTGTAATCATCCACCACATAGCAGAATTCCCAGTGGTACAACATTTCTAAAAGGAAAGGGAAAAAAATATATTTTCGTAGATATGTTAAGCATATGAGAAAATTTCATTGTACCTAACGAATAACAAAGAAGACGTATCATAAAGGATATTGTCCTACACAAGGGCATATAATTTGGAAGGTCGAATACCTTTTTTCGGACGCCGAGTCCGCTTTAATACCCAGTTGCGCCTAAGTTATCAAGGGTAATGTACCGATAAAATATAACAATAGCTCAGCTTGTAAGAATTACTTAAACTAAGTAAAACAAAAAAATGCTTTATCCTAAACTCAGCTGTAACCGGCTCGGTGTTTGCTTAAATTGCGAAAATGGTGGTTTTAATTCTGGTATGTATATGTACGATTACAAATGTATTAATTTAGTTAAAACTTGGGAATTGCGCCAAAACTTTTAATTAGTTGTTGTATATTCTATATTAGGAAATCTCAGCAGATCTACTGATATAAGGTTTTCGTTTTTCAACAATAATATATAATTAATTAGTTTCATTGTAATGTATTCATTTAAGTAAAACAAGTTCGCGCGTTTCGCGGCGGTAATCACCTTGCGTTGAACGAAACGCTCGTTCGTTCGCTATCCACTTAAAAAGCGCCCTAACGCAAGTTTTAGTTCCGACTTGCGCTATCAATAACGACAAACGAACTAGGTATTCCGATTTTTTTTTTTTTTTTTATGCGAAAAGTTGTCAAACGAGCAGACGGTTCACCTGATGTTAAGTGAATACCGCCGCCCATGGACATCTGCTACACTCGAGGGTTACAGATGCGTTGACAACCTTTTGAAAATTGGGCTCCGGCTACCTCACTCACCAGACGAAACGCGAAAGTATTTGTCATACTTCCACTTTACGCCGGTCTTCTGTGAGGTCGTGGTACTTACCCGGACGGGCCTGCCCATTCGTGCAACAGCCGAGGCTGCTGCGTGGCCCTACCACCGTAAAAGTAAAGTAAAGTAACAGCCTATGTCTATCTCACTGCTGGGCAAAGCCCTCCTCTGTAGAGGTGGTATTAAGACAAAGCACCACGCAACGAATTGGCAGACTTGACATATCTACGAAATAATTTTTTATTATATTTTTGAATGAACGCAGTTTCCGCGAGCACGTGATAAATCAGCACTTATAATTGAAAATTTCATCGGTGGTACCGGGGGAACACGGATTGCTGGAGTATATTGAATAAAAACGCGAGCGCCCGGACACTGAACCATCACGACTCCGATAGAAGATATCTCTAAGAGGAACACATCTCGGCAAAATTAGAAGCGAACGAAAAGTATCAAAGCCACAGGCCGAACACAGGTCTGCCAACACTCACCGAGCTGCCGGCACACGTCGGCCTTCAGGGCCGAGGAGAGCTGCGGCTCCTTCAGGAGGCGTTCGTAGGCGTCGCGGGCCGACTTCCTCAGGCCGCGCGCCTCCAACAGATGGGCAGCGTGGAAGCTCAGCTCGAGCCTGGTGAAGGTCGCGTCCTGGTGGGGCGCCAGGCGGGCGCGGCGGAAGTGCAGCGCCGCGGCGGCCCAGTGGCGGCGCGCCTTGAACATCAGCGCCAGCCGCAGGTGCGCGTCCGCCGCCCGCGAGAACCCGGGCGACACGTACAGCGCCATCTGCAGCGCCCTCGTGGCCCTGGCGGCAGAACCAACCAACGCCGAGCTCGCACACGGCAACGGAGTCGAACCCGGGCGGGCTCCCCTTTCACTGGTGACTCGTCGCGATATATGATCCGGTCTCGTGCCGCTCCTCCGTCGATCGAAATCGACACGAGAACCGATAGTAGATATGCACATTTATCGCAATTGCTAATGAGGATAATGTTGGCCATGGTGTCCAATCGTCTTAGGCCGGTTTTTCTCTGAATCGATATAATAGCTTGAAATAGGCTAAAAGTGAATGATGAAAACATTGGCCTTGACGTTTGATTTTCTAAGCGATGCGTTGTCTTATGCAAACGCTATTAAGTGCTAGTAACTAAAGTAGGTACATACACATATTATAAATGGGTCGATTCCCTAAGGGAATCAATTTGTAGAATACAGCTGCGTGTTTGAGCAGTGAGTATTGAGAACAAAAACTTATTGTTAACTCATCCGTAAAGCTGCTAAAACTAATGCTGATGAAATATGAATGAAAGTACGAATGAAAGCGCAAGTACCAATGTATACACATACTTTATAGGTTATTCATAAACATCAATTATTTGCGTAGATAATTGGCCGAGTAACGAATATACATTTAAAAAAAGTAAAGTAACAGCCTATACATGTCCCACTGCTGGGCAAAGGCCTCCTCTATACAGAGGGTATCAGGGCATAGTCCACCACGCGGCCCCACTGCGGATTGGCGGACTTCACATATTTTCGAAATACATTTTTTTTGTTATTATTCCGAAAATAATGCAGGTTTCCTCACGATGTTTTCCTTCACCGCGGAGCATGTGATAATTCAGCACTTAAAGTTAAAAACTTCATTGGTGCCGGCACCGGGTATCGAACTCAGGTTGCTCGAGTATACATTGAATCGTATACATTGAGTATAGAGCCGTGATAGCTCAGTGTCCGGGCGCTCGCCTTAATTCAATGTATACACGAATATACATATTATAACATTATTTTGTACAAACAAAGAATGCTCTTGATATCTGATAGAATTGAAAAGACAAATGAAATGTTTTGAAAATAAATAAAATATAGTATTTATTAATGAAACACACAACAAAACTCAGGTAGGTTGTTACAACGATCATGCTTCTGTTAAAATAAATAAATAAAATAGGGCCGGACAAAGAATAAGGTTCACGTAAAGAAAAAACATGGACCCAAATGTGCACAGAGGAAACAAAAGAAGTACAGAAAGCCTTTTTTGCGGGAGGCATAAAATGTAAGGGACCGTCATCGGACCGCGCATTGAACTAGCAGAAAGCCTTACCATTTCAGTTCAACTCAAAAACTAAGCCAGGGTCCGCCTTTGTGGAATCGCTACGCGTATAATACGCGTTACAATTGCTCGATACAATTGTCAGTGTTATTGGAAAATTTGAAAAAAGAACGAAACATCTACCTAGTAAAAGTTTACCTGGAACCGAGTCATTCATCGAGATCAGGTGTCAGTCGCGGTGTGTCGCGGAATATTCGGGCCGTGTTGCGAGGGGGCCGTTGACTTTCGGGGAGACACCAGTCCAAGACATTCGTGAGGTTACCGAGGGGCGCATCAGCGGAGCGTAACGTCACCGATGCGCCCGCTGGGGTCGATGACCGTCTGAGGCCCGTCCGCGCAATCGATCGGACGATACAACGCAACGTCTAGACAGCGATCGCGGGCCGAATCGCGACGTGCGTGGCTCGATCGTTTGGACGACCTCCGCCGACGTTCGCGGGCCGAAACAAAGGAGCGGGACAGGTGGCGCGTCCGGTGTGCTCGCATATACTAAAATTAAACGATTGCACACACGCGCGCAAACGCACACAAGCACACGCGCATAATTGTGTGCACGCGTTGCGGCGGGCCGGAGAGAGCTTTCACCCGCTTCGCCGCCAGCATTCGACATGCCCGATACGCCCAGTCATCTTCTTGCATTCATTGTTCGCAAGAACGCCCCACGTGATTGTGACTCGTCACGCAACATATAAAAGTTCGACGGAGACCGTTCAACAGCGCACGCCTCTACGGGCGTTAGAAGCCGCACAATCCACGTAGAAGTAAAGTTTCCTCTCGAAAATGACGTTGTAGCTTAAGGGCTGTGGTGTATTTGTTTCGTGCGTAAATAACGTTGCGAAACACGGTTAATAATAATCAACGAGTTCGAGTTGTGTAAGGGTTTTTGCGAGAGTAATACTACGATACATTTAGAAATCAACGAGTCTATCAAACAATACGGTCGATACATTTGTACTCGATATAGTGTTTGGTACTCGGCACCCACACTGGTCCCTGATAGATACGACAAAAGGCGCGGCGTTGACAGTTGACACTGATAACAAACTGCAAAAAAAAAGAGTATAATTTTAAAGTACTAAACGATTAGAGAATTAATTTCAACTACTATTTATAAATTTTAGTATATTACAAGCTAACACTGGTATTCGTTAGGCAAATCTATTATTCAATGGAATGTTTATTTTCTCGCGTAACTCATTGTGAGAAATTTAACTTTTCGACGCTGACGTAATTATCGGCCGGATAAGACCCGAGTAATACTTTCAAACTATCAATCTTTCATGACTCAGATTTAAATGGAGAACAGAAATTTCCACGTGTAATAAACATGTGCAAGCGGGTACCGTCAAAAGATTATAATATTATTATGGAACCGCGTAATTTCAACAAAGTTCGTGATAAATGAAACACGCGACGGTGGACCCATCATAATGCGGCTACCTGCGCGTCCGCATCGCCGAAACCCATTATCGGCGGGGGCAGGTAACAAAATTACGGGTACAACCCTATTTATACATTCGGAGAGGTCTTTTCAGTGCACGCCATAGAAACTTGCAGCGGAAAACAAACAATGCCCGGACCAATGAATGACTCGAACATCTGTCGAGGCATTACACTGCGGAGCGGAATGAAATCGAGCCACCGTCACAGTCGACCGTGACGGCGGAAATATAATGTTTATTGCGGCGGGCTAGAAAGCGCACGGTGAATGAGGAAGTGCGGAATGTGTGGGTAATTCGGCCCGGCAATGTGCGAAGGTACCGCGATGGGGAGGAGGGGGAGGAGGGAGCGGTGCGGGAGGGAGGGCAGCGCCATGAGGCACAGCTCGGCGTGACCCAGTTATGCGCACTCGCGCCGGCTCAAGGACGCATCGACCGCTATTTATAGAGTTCGCTCGCAGTTCGTCATAGCACCGCACTCGCATTAGATAACCTAAGTGCTGTCGCTACGTGCGCCGGGCGCGTGGATCGAATCTCACGGCCCCGGCTAACGAACCCGTCGCCCTCCCACGGGCGAACCGACAATAATAACCCATTTCCCCGTTCATCCGAGAGCCTATACTGACCAGGTCAGTCTTCTAGGTCAATGTTGTTTATAAAACAAATCGAACGTAGAACTATCGGGATCGCCTACATGTCACTGGTCACGTAATGCGAATTTTTCCTTCGTATTGTTCGATGACTAGTTGTGATTTCCTGCGGATAATTTCACGTTTACTCACTCTTACAATGTGGACCCCGATTACCTCACTCACAAGTGATCACATTTTATAAAGGTTTTCAATTCATCTGAACGCTTTCTTAGGTGTTGTAGAAGTATATGAGCGACTGTTAACATCAGATGAACCACCTGCTCGCCTGACAATTTTTTATTAAAAATAAACAAAAAAATTTTTATTAAAAAGAATATCGCGTTTACGCTAGGCATCATAATTCGTGATGCACTCGAGACGAGCATGCAATTCACTCTACTATATTGCATCACGGCCTTGGCTCCGCGGTAACAGAATGCAACGCGGACTCGTGTTTGTATACGTTCGTGGCGCATTAATTTCTGCGATTGTGAGTTTGTGTTTACATCGACGCTGCATTGTGCCTCATTAGAACATAACCAACATCATTGTTCCCAACGTACTCATATCGCAAAGAACCCTCGAGTAAGCGTATAGCGATGCATTATTGAACTGCTCTTACCGCTCGACTGCGACATATGTAATGTAGTAAGTTACAACGCAATCGAGCTACGTCTACGGGCTCCGATAGTACAGAAGGTTATCGAGTGGCATATATAGTTATGTACTTCTAAGCAGGGCCGAGCCAATTCCGTAGCGGCCGGTTCGCGTGTTGCACAAAATTGATAATGAGCGGCTTTTATCGCTGGCGTCATTCTAGTCGACCCACTTTCGTCCCGTTCCATGTGTACTTGTGCAGTAGCCTACACGAAGCTAGCGCGTACATTATACGATATTAATAGAGTGCAAGGTTTCCACAAGACATACGTGGCGCCGGGATTCTCGGCGGATTCTAACAGCGACCTTGAAATGATGGTCATCTCGAAGATATATATCTGGCAATGCAAATGATTGTAATACGCGTTTACGTAAATAACTATTTGTCGTTAAAATTAAACGTGTACAATCCCATACCTGGACGCTTTTGTCATGTACGGCAACCTATCCCAGGCTTTGTATGAATAAAATAATGTTATTTATTGTTCATATCGAGAGAAGCGCAAAAAAAACCTCGAAAGCAACCTTTGTCAACAATCCTTGTTATATATATGTTCACTGTAGAATTAATTTCGTCAATACTCAACACTAAAACACAGTTTTTGAAGGATATTCAATTTTATAGTGCTATTGTCTACACTTATCTAGTCTATTTTTAAGATGAAATTTAAAAAATTTGTAGTATCCCGGAGGACGCAGTTTGAATCCGTAGTGAGGAAAAACATTTTATCCATGTTTCTAAAAATTACTAAATAAGGGCTTTAGTTCTATTTCATATTTTCCTGATACTTATAAATTCTAAGAGTCGTAAAAAAGTCGTATTACTTTCATTTTTTAACTGTGGTAGAGCTACGTAACAGTGTTTGCTGTTGCACGAATGGGCAGGTCCGTTCGGATTAGTACAATGACCTCACAGAAGACCGGCGTGAAGAAGAAATGTTATAATGCTGCGCACCGGCTGGTGAGTGAGGTAGCCGGTGCCCACTTTATTAAAAGGTGGCAAAGGCAACCTCGTAAAAATCACTTAACATCAGTCGCCAGCTCTTTTGCCACTTTCATTTCATTAAACGATCAAAAACACCAGAAGTTTTCGCGTCAAGGTTATAATTTTTCAATTTTATTATTATTTTCTCTACGGACCCTTTGGAATAGGTTCACGAACCAGAAGGGGACCGCAGACCCCAGTTGGGTCACCCTAATCTACACAACATTTTCTAGACGTGGGAATAGCGTGACCTTCCTACATATTTTCAAATCAAACAAGTCTTCACTATTATTGACAAATTCACATATTATAATGAATGGTTACGTTGAAACAATTAAATTAGTATAAAAAAATATACGTAAAATTAAAATAAATTCGCCGTCACGGGAATAGAAACCACGTCTTCCAGATTCGCGCCCAGACGCTTTAACTTTTATCGTCCATTTTTTCTATAAATTTTAACGATTTTAATGTTTCGCCTTAAGTGCAGAGATTAGCAACATAAAAATTTTAATTTCGTATAATAAAGTTTCAAACAAACAAGCGCTTGATCAAAGAGAATAATTAGATAACAAATAACAATATCGACGATCACAACAATTGTCATTAGATTACACGCACCGCGTGATATTCCTACAATGTTGTTGAATTCAATGACAAAGAAACAAGGCGTGGAAACGTTAGAGATAAGCCGGTTATACCACTTATGGGCGGGCAACGCTAGGCTGCCGAGCACGTATGGCCCAAGCCTTACGGTACTTTGGACCTGTAGCATGACTGTAGCATAACAACCATGCATATTTTATCCAACCGTACGTAGAGAGCGTTTACGAGAAAACAACGCGGAAACAAGTTGATACCGTTGAACTTTTAGAGATGCTTCTCGGAAAGTTTACTTTTACGTCACGGCACTTATTAAAGCAAAGTCAGAGACAGAAATTAAGTGTAAAGTGTAAATGTACATCACCAACAATAGGAATCTAATAGTGTTAACTTAAAAATGAAGACAAACGCCACCAGGTAAAGTAAATTTTAAACATATTTTTGTTTTAGTTTTCTTCATCCTTGGTGTAAAAAAAGTATTTATTTATCCATTCGTTCATTCATAAAATCGTTGTTTTTTTATTACGCTAAGTTAAAAGAAATGGTAATTGATAAACCGACAGTCAAAATATGCATTTGCTATGTATGGCCAGACAGATATTGCGCTGTTATCAGACAAATATGGGTGGTCAATGTGCGCCGATAAGGATAGTGATGGTATAGAAACACGTACGTTTCTATGCAACGTACCAACGTATCGCGGTACGTTAGGTACATCCCTTCGAGCCGCGCACATTAATAGCCGGCGGCGGTTGAGTTATGGGGAAGTGCACGTTAAGATTCAGCCGACGTCGCGTACATAGTCTACGGAGCCAATAATAACGGTCGCATCGCGGGATCGAGCATCTTCTAGATAGGCACGTATCTAGCGCGTATAAAACTAAATACACAGTTGCATTAATATGTTCTATTATAATAAAATAATCATGATCACATATTCGTAACTCTAAATAAATGGTAAAAATATTTATCCTTACTAAGATTATAAATGCGAAAGTTTGTATGTATGGATGGACGTATGTTTGTTACTCTTTCACGCAAATACTTACTGAATGGATTTTAATGGAACTTTACAATAATATAGCTTATACATCAGAATAAGACATAGGCTATAATTTATATTATACATATTTTATGTATATCTTTCTTTCTGCCTGAATGCTACGCCTTCAGCCAATTCTACGCAAACGTAGTCGCGGGCAGCAGCTAGTTTCTCTATATATTATAAAGGATGTATTTAGCGTGCAAAACACGTTTTTAAGTAATAAATATAGGTACGTCAACCTATTAGAGTATTACAAGTAAGACGTGAGTATAATAATCTAATATTTCCAATATAAATGTACCAACGCATTTCAAAACGCACGAATACGCGCAAAATTATTCGCAAAAAGCATCCGTCGCTAGTATAAAAAGGGAGATGGGAACATTATGCGCTATTATTACATTACAAACGGTGGAGTGCCCTTGATAACTACCCCACGTTTATGGCACACAAGTGTCGTAACAAGTCCAATGGTTATTTACATGCGGCAGAATTAAAAAAATCGGGCCCCGTCCCCAATATTACGATTCGGAAGGGTTGAACCCTTTGTGAAATGCTTTTTAGGGCTTACAGCCGATGTCATATACTATTTGTCAGACAATAGAGAGGGCACTAGCACATGCGTGCATATAAGTTGCATGGAAGCACGCATGTCGTGCCCAGGCTTCGTGGACGGGGCTCGGGGGAAGGTGTGCGGAGGGAGAGGGGGGGGGGGGACGAGTCCGCTCAATAGTGACGTAACGGCGTGTCGCAAGATCCGAGGTGGTACGGAGATATTCCGTCGCTCCCTTTTTACGGTCTCCGGCCGCTTTCTAATGCCCATTGTACCCGCAACGGCAGGCCAAATCATAACTGCACTTCGACGTCCGTGAGAACTACCTACCAAGTGTCATCCTTCTCATTTAAATAGTAATATACTGTACTCTTGCAGTCTTAAATATTCATCGCCAGCGGATGAGTCACGCGGTCGCCACGAATTCTTCTCTTAATAGATTAAAGGACGTTGCCTTTTTGTATTCGAAGGTGAATGTCAAGGAATCGGAAAAAACGTACGGCGAAACATTCGTTGTTTTTTCTACTCGTTATCGCGGGCCGCAGATACCTACTATCTCTATATACATACATACGAGTAGAATTGACGTAATTCCCGCGTTATCAACAATATATGGTGTGAATTGTAGATAACACAAATTAGCGTTGATGTTGAGCACAATAGAGCGGCAAATAAACACGGTGGAGTTGCGAGAATGAATACAATTTTGTGCCGAAACACGATTGACGTCACCGGGCGAGATGTTTCATAACATTCTTACAATTCATCGTAGTCGTATCGCTTATATTAAAGCACATTAGCGATTGAAACGGTTGGATGAGGATATAATTGTCTACACATCGAGTAATAATGACTCGGCGTTTTTGCAGCGACTGAACGGACGACCGTATCAGGCAGTAGTTGAGCACTAAATTGCCTGGAGCCGACGACCTTGCAGCCGTGACGTCGCGCCGCGCCCGCTTCGGTGACGTGACGTGATGTATGACGTGCGCATTTTTTCGCGGAAATTCCAGCGTGGCCTGCGCTCGCGAACAAGGCTTACTCTGTCAAGTGAACGACAAACTAATATCAACCACCAATAGCAAAACTCCGAACGTCTCTTATTACAATTCGGGCGCGATTTAAATTTTAAATTTGGAATAAGGAGCGACGGGTCTGGCCGGTACTGCAGAGTGCCTACCGACCGGTCGAATATTCGCCGCAGAATGTGACGAATTGAATTTTAATTCTGCGCTAAGAAGACTTTTAGGTCACAACACTAATAATACGTAAGATGGTAGCAATTCGTTGAATAAACTGCGTCATGCACTGCCAAATATGAAATGGGAACGATTTAAAAAAAGAAAACGTTTCTTTTTAGAAAGCAAAGTGGGACGCGGCGTGTCAGCACTTGTAAAAACAAAAGCTCCGGCATGCGCAAAAACTAGGGCGGGCTGCTTGACATAGTACATAACCTACGCTGCCCTATAGAACGTGGGCGGTCCGACTAACGCAACTAAAATCCGAAGGGCGACCGCTTACAACACGAACCTTTCTAAAACGTACGCCCTGCGACGCTCGTGCCATATTGACGATCGGTAAATGTCGTTAGGTGAGACGTTTCGATCTTCGTAGCGTTAGGAGCGACGATATTTTAAGCAGGAAACGGGCGTCCGAATGGGCGAGGTCATTGACAGAGGAGAGACGACTGCAGCGAATGCACCGGGCGAGTTCCGGTGCAATACGAGGCAGGTATAAATAGCGTTCCGTTAGTGTCGACGACCGCGCGCCGCGCTCTAAGCCGCGCTCCTAACGAAGTGCCTCCGACGGAGTATTGAAGACGACAATTGTCGCGTCGCCGGACGGGACGGGTGAAAATCGAAGCCGGCGATTTTGGGATAGGGCGAGCAGACGCGCCGTACCAAAAGGAGGGGAGCGGGGGTGGCGGCGGGGTCGTAGTTATAATGCATGCGCCCTTCGTAGATTACTCGATGGAGGTGGGTGTAGATGCGCGCGCGGCCCCTCTGCCCGCGCGTGGAAAGCCGACGCGTACGTGACGCGGCGCACGCTGCAGGGGTGTGTGCCCAGCCCGCATCCTCCGCGTCTCCGCTCAGATGCACTCCTCTGGCGAGGGACGGCGTCCGTCTAACCGAACCCTAAACGTCGCGTGCCATTTCCGCCGTTCGATAGCCGCGACGCGACCCGAATCCTTCCGACAACAATGCGCGACTGTGGAAACAACTCTGGCTGTGATACTCTACCGACTGTCATTTTCTCCATTAATTAGTTGTTGCGTTCGATATTCTGCACTCGTAACAGAAAGCGATAAGTTGCCTTTTTGTTTACGGAGTATGTTAATGACCGGCGATAACAACTCCAGACAAAGAGCATTCGGCCATGTTTTATTTATATCCACATATTAACCTCCGTCGTGTGCACGAAAACAAATGCGACAGTGTGCGGGGGGGTGTCAGGAGGCGCAAGGTCGGTGTAGTCGCGTCCACATTCGAATTGCACACTGCACTGCATTGGTGTGGTACAGTCGCGCGCAACGAGGCACGCGCCGAGCGCCGTCATGTAAATAAATAACCGGACCTCAATAAACTTGTCGCGCGCCTTACGTCGACAAACTTATTCGACCCGAAGCACGAGCGAACTACTCAGTAGTAATTTATGACTCGCGTGTGTATTTATTGCCATCTATACATATATTAATAGGTGTAGTTAAGACTTTGAATGCCTTTTGAAAGAGTAATGCAAGCACGTGTTAGTATGACATTGAATGACAGGGTAAGAACTGCAGAAAACTAATTTGTTTGTCCATTGTTGTACAAATATATAAAATAAAAATAAAATACGACATTTTCATGAAAATGAATAAAAATAACAAGTTTTGATTTTTTTACATTCATAAATTATGGTCGACCAACCGGCAATTAAAAGTATATAATTTATGAAAATATCTGAAGAAATATACTAAAGTCAAATAAAAACAGGAAATTTCAGCAGCAAAGTTAAGTATTTATTAATGAAATCCCGTCATATTAAATAATGTAACAAAAAAAACGACCGATAGCAAATTAAAGTATATTGCATTTAAGACAGGTTCATTCGCAATTTGTTTAGAAAAATTAAGTGGCGGTTAATATTTTACGAAATGAATTTACGCTGCCTATGACGAGAGAAATAACTTCTGAAGGCTTGTATAATAATGAGTATTAAAATAACAAGAAAAAAATCGATTTAAAGATGACATAATATTAAACTGCATATTCATGAAAGGTCAACTAAGTCCAAGAAGTTTTCATATTCCAAAAAAAAAACACGCACACAGAAAAACTTATTACTCCGGTCTAAAAGCGATGCCCCAGTAAAATTTTACCCAAGCTCGAATTAATCGCCGCAAACGGTGAAAATCGACAGATGCACACCGCATGCAAAGGTCAGAAATCATTAGGGGTCTGAGGGTTGCGGCGTAATAGTCACGGAGGCCAACGCGCGGCTAAACAAAGGCGGCTAACGCAAGAAGCAGCTGATGCGGCAGGTGATGCTCCACCCGGCCTACACCTGCCACAGCACGCGCCGCAAGCTGCCCGATAATGCCGCATCCATTACGACCAACGGCCCATGATCGATTGAACGGAGACCTGGCCTTACACTCTAACAACAGCTGACTCAACGCCAGGCGAGTTACGCAACGCAGAAAAAAAAAAAAAACTCAGACTCGCAACATCTACTAGCGCGAACACTAGAAATAAAAAAAAGCAAGAATGATGTCCCTTGAATAGCAATGTAGCTTCATGAATTATTCCAACGGAAAAACAATACGAACCACTCGTGTGATTTGTATAGGAATTCGACGTGTTGCTGGAACGTTCCTATTACCGCTACTCAAATGAATTAATTTATGTTAATAGTTTCTGGAAAAATAGGATTATGCATACATTTTACGAGCGATAAACGCGCTTCATCTTTACATATATTTTGTGAAGACTATACAGAAGTGTATGGAAACAAGTTCCGGTAAAGATAGCAAAATGGAGAGCAAGAAAGGAGAGATAAATAAACAACAGCAGCGAAGTCGAGCAAGCCGCGCCACTCTAGCAGTACAGGGCTAGAATGGGGGGAGTACCGTTAGCCGCGGATAGCGGACGCATTGATATCACGTGGATTGTCACCGATATGCAATTTTAGATTATCATATGACATCATGAATTAAGTACAAATTAGTGGCATATCTTCAATTGGAAAAATACCCCCAACACAGCAATTGATAAGATTTTAATACGTTCGCAGCGAATATTCGAACGAATGAAGCGCACGACAATATTGGACAACAATATATCGCAGTCAAGGTGGACGTGACGGGCGGATATATTTGCGACAATTATTAAGTGTTAAAGACATTTTATTATTCATTGTTCGTGTAACGCGACGAACGGTTTTTCCATTAATATAATGGATAATTGTGCATTTCATTGTTATCGAGGCGCTCATTAAGTTTCCGAGCGTATCGTCCGTCGACTACCGGTCGGGTGACCAATGACGGACGCGCAAAATTGCGCGAAATCCTCGTACCGACTCACACATGACTCACTGACATTTTCCTGCGTATCTATGTACGTAACATATGACAGCATTGATGAGTCGTGGCGTAAGTACTACGAGCACAGATATTGTGGAAAGCCCAAACTCATACACGAGATATTCTTAATTTATTTTTTTAAGGATAAAGATAAGAAATATATAAATATATATATATATTACCATTTAATGTTATAAGGCACATTCATTAAAAAAATTGGTACACTCCATAAAAGTGTAAGAAAAAAACCGTATTAAAATATCCGTTAACCCATAAATTTTTAGTGGTTTAGAAGTTTGTTATCCTTCAGTATGTATCGTTTATTTATGCAGTATATATACCGATACAAATCTTGCCACAACAATGAACTCAATGCAAGCAAGAGCTTTACTTAGTTTGCATAGGCAAAGGGAGCGGCGAGGCACACGGCATCGCGTGCAGCGGCGTTGTTGCGGCTACACTCCACCGACCTACATTTTATACGACGCCAAGTTCATTATTTACTAGCACTAACCCGCTCACGCATCACTCGCCCTTACAGCACTGCTACCCACGTCGCAAGTTTTACATCTATCTTGCCCATGACTCGGCCTCACACAGGAAGGACTGCTTAAGCGGCAGCCTACCTGCGAAAATATACTGCAAAAAACTGCACAAACCGTGCACACAAACAAAAACGCGACCTCCCGACGGGACCAGCTCCGGGACGGTCGACGTAAGTATCTACATTTTGGAAAACAAAACAAAATAGAAAGAGACGCGTGCGAAAGCGACGCAGGGATATAGGCGGCAGGTTTGATAGAGAGAGAGGTGGCTCGAAAGCCGACGTAAACAAACCGCGATCGGGAGCTTCGACCGCACTCACCATTTCGGGGATCCTCGGACCCAGGGCGCGTTGGTGGGCTCACGGTGATCCACGTAGTGAAGAGCGGGCTCGTCGTCGTCGCCGGAAAAGACACAACACACAGCCACTCTGGATGGTTCAGTGTAAAAGACACATAAATGTATACGACGTCCCGTCCTACACTACGTTTACGGCCCGCGCCGATGCAGTTTACGTCACCGCATCCCGCTCCCGACTGACGACGGTACGCGGCGCGAGCGAGCGACGACCTCGCGCTGCAGCGTGCACCTCCCCGCGCCCCGCTTATTACCGCCGCGCCCTACCAGCCCCCGCCCGCGCGGGCCCTAATGCCCTGCCCCGCGCTCGCCGTACGTCCGGTGAATCACGAACACGGATCAAACTATCGCTACGAAAATGAACACAAATCTTGTTTCTTAAATAACTTGTCCAACGGACATTTAAAATTAAAAAAAAAAAAAAAAACAATACAGAATTATGCTTTCAATATAGTGGTGTACATTGTAGAAGTGTACGTCGATGAGAATTATAATATATAAAATGTTTACAGTGTACATATTTGTTTAATAAACAACATAAGAATATATTTTTATATCTCTACAAAATAGTACGTAGTAGTAATTATCTGAGAGCTAGTGATATTAACTCTTATTATATTATCATATTTGTAATCTATATACGTTACATTACAACTTTGTGCAAGGTACAGCAAAACGTAGGTATCTATATAATTATGTATAAAATTTACACTATTCATAAAAGTTTAAATTGCTCAAAACCTACTATAATAGCAATTCTATAAACTTTACCGTTAGCTATAGCGTTCGTACTGTTAAATGGAGGAAGCAAGTGTGGGAAATTTGTACATTTAGAACAGTGATTCTCAACCACTGTGCCGCGGCACTTTTGTGTGCTGTTAAATTTCAAAAGTGTGCCGCAAAATTTTGCAAATATACAGCGTGTCGTTACCATCGTCACATATAGGGGATAAGGGACACATATAGAGGATAACTTTTTAAAGTTGTATTAAACAGTTAAATTCTTTAAACATCAATATTTACAGAGTTATTAAATTTTCCAAAACAAAGAATTTTAGAACACCCTCATCTATAAAAGCGTAACGTAAAGTTCATTTGTAAAGGTCACAAAGCATATGAATGGGTTGAATGAATTTAAAAGAGACAAAACATACTGTTAGAAGGAGAGGCTTGTAACACGACACTGTGGCGCGACTTGTATAGGATGTTAAAAATTTTATTTCCTTTTTACCTAATTAGTTTGTTTGAAAAATATTTTTTTTTTAATTATGGATTTTATTTAACGTTAATATTTTTTTATGATTTTTGGCAAGTAGCGTTGGACGTGTGTTCATTTATTGTCGCGATGGTAACGACACGCTGTATAATAATGTTAATATTATTAAATTATATCATTTAAAAAGAAAAATATTTTTAACATGAATATATTATATTTAAATCCACAAAAAAAATTAATTATTTTATTATTTGCTTTGCAACGGGTTTTTTCTTAGTGCCAAATTATGATGAAGCGGCGTGCATAGCAATAGGAATATGTCTCAAGTCGGCGCACACTTGCCACTTCTGCGTACAAAACGTGTTGTTTTAGTGATAGTTGGGATTCACAAGGTGTTGCATAGTAGTTACTGCACCTTTTCTTTCGTTAAAATTGACAAATGTATGTGATTCGTTTTAATATTAATTTATTTGCATGTAGTGTCAATTTATAAACTTATTAACTTTGCAGTACACCTATCCCCCGATTTACACAGTACATGTTTTACACGTTTTCGCTTTTACACGGTTTTACAAATAAGGTTTTTTTGTTTTTATCGCACTCTACTAAATGCTACTGTGATGGAACACGTGCGATGTGTACACATCTCACGGGGAATCCCGAGCTTATGTGCTGACTTGCTGCACACGCACACTGTGTCTGTATTTCTTCGCGTATATATTATTCGTAGTATATATAAGTTTATTTCCTATATTTAAAATTTTTGTCATAAACTATTTATGCAGTAAGTAAATAATTTATATCTTTTTCTTTGTGTGCCGCCAAATTTTGAAATCGTTAAATATGTGCCGCAACAAAAAAAAGGTTGAGAATCACTGATTTAGAATCTCATTTTCGTGTTATTCGCGTTTTTTTTAAGTAATTTTTAAGGAGTATAATTAAATATACAGATTCAAAATTCTTTTTTGTTAATTTGCATGATATCCGATCATATTTACCTTATACTTTGGAACCATTGTAAAACCTGTGTACAGAAATCAACCGACTTGTATCTGTCTTTTTTTTTTGAGTAAAATGTTGGCAACCAAGCAGTTCATGCGATTTAAATTTTGTAGAAGAATGGACGAAAAGTTTATGGTAAAAAAAAAATAGCTGTAGGTTCTGGTAACTTCATAAAATAAGACTAAGTTAGGGATAAGGCGAATAAAAGGGGACATGAATTGGCACCAGCACGAAGTGGTCTCGATCAGTACTGAGGGACACCGGTGCGTTTCGTTGGAGCTCCCAGAGTCCCTCCAAACGTACCAAAGAAGAGAAGGTCCTGGTAACTTCACTAACTGTACTGTAGCATTTCTCCTTTTTCAATTTTTATTCAAATAAGCCGATGGTTTTTTTTTTTTCTATGGTAATAAGTGAGATAAATTGCAAGAAACTGACGGTGAAATATGTTATGAGTTTATGACCATAAGGATAATTATAATGTTATATGTTATGATAATTATAGTCGCCAAACTCATAAATATCACGTACGAAGAATAGATGCGTTTTATTTAAAATGTTTAAAACAGTTTTTAGAGTTCCATACCCAAAGGGTAAAACGGGACCCTATTACTAGGACTCAGCTCCGAAATTTTCACAGATGATGTATTTCTGTTGCCACTATAACAATAAATACTAAAAAACAGAATAAAAAAATATTTAAATGGGGCTTCCATACAACAGAAATGATTTTTTGTCGTTTGTGTACATATAATAATGATTTTTTTTTGCCGAATGGTACGGAACCATTCGTGCGCGAGTCCGATTTGCACTTGGCCGATTTTTCAAGAACGGTGTTAGATAAAGAGAAAATTTTCGGAATAATTATTAATACTTACAAGTAAATGAACTCAAAAGACAAGAGGTAGGTAGATAACGAGATGACATAATAACTAGATCTCATTAATATTATTATATTAACGAGATCTAGTTATTACCGTTATCACTCAATAGGTTACAAATAAAATGTAAAATAAAAAATCGAAGTGTTTTGTAAATATCTAAACGATACTTCGCTTTCTTTTAACTCCATAAAAGAAAAAATTCTAATACGATAATTATGCCCTAATGCGTAGAAATTTTATAGACAATTACAAACACCACCCCTAACCAAAAATCTCATTTCATAATTGGTCACTATATTTTATGAGTTACCTAATCATTTAGATATAATAATTAGAATACTGGATCACTCCCTGGCGCAGTTGCCAAGGTGAAGTGCCAAGTTCGTGGGTTCGATTCCCTTACGAGATTTGTGTGACCCACAGAGCATTAGTGATGACCCACAAATTATTAGTTGGGACTTACTATACAGCGTGTCGTTACCATCGCGACAATAAATAAACACACGTCTAACGCTACGAGCCAATAATCATAAAAAAATATTAACGTAAAACAAAATCCATAATTAAAAAAAAAATATTTTTCAAACAAACTAATTAAGTAAAAAAGAAACAAAATTTCTAACATCCTATACAACTCGCGCCACAGCGTCGTATTACAAGCCTCTCCTTCTAACAGTATGTTTTGTCTCTTTTAAATTCATTCAACCCATTCATATGCTTTGTGACCTTTACAAATGAACTTTACGTTACGCTTTTATTTATTTATTTATTTATTTATTGCACATCCATTAAGTAACAAAAGGTTTTAAGGTAATTAGTAAAATAGTTCTTTATGGACCCTGTTTATAGGGCATAGTACAAAACAAATCATAAATTCGGAGAGAGCAAGATGTATCACTTAGGTAATTTAATGAGGTACTTGTACTAGTTGGTATTTTAAGTGGCTATTTATTTTTATAAGTAACATTTATTACTTTTAATTTATATATTAATTATGAGTAATTTGTTTAATATATTAATGATGTGAGATCATTATGTATTATTTATATCTATAATATCCAAGGTATCTCCAAAATATTCTTTTATGTCATAATATGACTTGGTAAGTAACAATTCTTTTAATATTTGCGGTAGTTTGTTATATATCTTGATGGTCATTACATAGGGACTCGTTGAGTATAATTGTAGTGTAGAAGTGGGTTGCATTAGTCTGTCTTTATGTCGTAAGTTGTATTGTACAGGAATTTCACTGCGCTTTTGATAAAGCCAAGGATTTTTTCGAACAAATTTACATATTTCATATATATATAAACTTGGTAAGGTGAGTATATTGAGCTTTTTATAGGTAAGGGTGTTCTAAAATTCTTTGTTTTGGAAAATTTAATAACTCTGTAAATATTGATGTTTAAAGAATTTAAACGTTTAATACAATTTTTAAAAGTATTTATTTATTTATTTATTGCACATCCATTAAGTAACAAAAGGTTTTAAGGTAATTAGTAAAATAGTTCTTTATGGACCCTGTTTATAGGGCATAGTACAAAACAAATCATAAATTCGGAGAGAGCAAGATGTATCACTTAGGTAATTTAATGAGGTACTTGTATTAGTTGGTATTTTAAGTGGCTATTTATTTTTATAAGTAACATTTATTACTTTTATTTTATATTAATTATGAGTAATTTGTTTAATATATTAATGATGTGAGATCTTATGTGTTATTTATATCTATAATATCCCAAGGTATCTCCAAAATATTCTTTTATGTCATAGATATGACTTGGTAAGTAACAATTCTTTGAATTTTGCGGTAGTTTGTTATATATCTTGATGGTCATTACATAGGGACTCGTTGAGTATAATTGTAGTGTAGAAGTGGGTTGCATTAGTCTGTCTTTATGTCGTAAGTTGTATTGTACAGGAATTTCACTGCGCTTTTGATAAAGCCAAGGATATTTTCGAACAAATTTACATATTTCATATATATATATAAACTTGGTAAGGTGAGTATATTTAGCTTTTTATAGGTAAGGGTGTTCTAAAATTCTTTGTTTTGGGAAATTTAATAACTCTGTAAATATTGATGTTTAAAGAATTTAAACGTTTAATACAATTTTTAAAAGTTATCCCCTATAAGTGTGTTCATTTCATGTCGCGATGGTAACGACACGCTGTATGTATATATATATATATATATATATATACAAGCACATAGAAGAAATTTGAGAAAAACAGATTATTGATTATCAACGCAGTAGACCCCAAAAAGAATATTGTTAAAATTTTTAACCGACTTCAAAAAAGGAGGAGGTTTCTCAATTCGACTGTATATATATTTTTTTATGTGTTCGTGGATAACTTCGTCGTTTATGAAACGATTTTGATGATTCTTTTTTTGTCGGAAAGGAAATATCCCAAGGGTGGTACCACGATAAGGAAATCCAGATCTGATGTTGGCATCCCAGGCCATCTTTGAATTTTATGGGTATTAACAATGTTTCTAATTTTCCGATTAAAGTAGTTTTTTTTTCGTTAAAAATTATACTTGTCTGTTTGTCTGTTGCGGTGCGTTTGTGCGCTAGAACCAATACCAAAACCAATCTCAGAAACAGCTTAACAGCAGATTTGAGTGCAACTTTCACTTATGCATTGTAGTAAGCTTCACTTAACATTTGGTGTAAGTTTTATTTAAAAAGGTTCATAATTAAAAAAGTTATATCAACTTAAAGAAGCACATTGAAGATTTCTGCGATAAAATGCTATACAATAGCTGCAGTTGAATTGGATGAAACTGTAGTTAAGTATATATTATGGTCTGTAAAAGGATGATGATTGTAAGTTTAAATATCAATTAAAACTTTGCTTTTACAGACACAACAACAACAACAACTTTATGATGATTCATAAAGTTGTAGTTGTCTAAGAAGATAAAAAAAAGAATGAAATAAAATAGTGCTTTTAATCCCGAAAGGTTGCAAATTCTTTTAAATCTTTAATAGACCGTACATGTTAAGACAATTGAAATTGAAGGACATGGACATGCAGATTTGAAATTGAGGATGACAAGATAACACATAATTCCTAATTTTCTCATTGTCAATACTCACTTTTTAAACACAAAATGCACCCAAAGTTAATATTAAAATCAACATGACCCATAGTTTTAGACCAAAATATTGCATAACCATTAGGAGTTAAAATTAAGATATTATTAAAACATGTAGAAAAAGTACGAAAAGATTGTCGCCTCTGTGGGAATCGAACCCACGTCTTCGGCATTCGCGGCCTGACGTTCTAGCCACTGAGCTAAACGGCTGATAGCCACAGCGACGAAAATCTTAACGCCTTCCTTCTACATTGTTATTTAGCATTTGAAGCAATGCTTGGCGCATCTATTGTTAAATCCTTTTCAACATACAAACAATTTCGAATATCGTTTTACAACGTTAATTCGAACGAGAGATGTCGTTCGAATTATCGTTCTTCTACATGTTTTAATGTTCAATCTTAAGTGCAGAGATTAGCACTATAAAAAACTTTAAAATTCATTAAGATATTAGTTTAACTATAACTTCTAAGTAATATGTAGTATGTGTAAAAAATCGTTTAGATCAAGCATTACAGATTTTTTACACTTTTATCTTTGATTTGAGCTAGGGATAAACATTTTTTTTTATTTTCTGATAATAATAACTCACCACTCGAAGGCATTGTAATGGTAGTAGCATAAGCCTAATCCATACAGAAACAGAGGATCTTTCCAATTGTCAGGTTCTAATGCATAAAACTTCTGATAGGCTGACATAGCTGAAAGTAAGAGCATTTAAAAATGATTTTTCATTATTATTTCATAATTAACAATGTAAAAATAACTTTTTAGAATATACTTAAATTCTAATATAAGGGAAATTAATTTTCACAATAGGCTCATGTAGTGTCGGTAAGATAATGAAATAAATATACAACAGATTAAAATAATACAATAGGTATTTAAGAACTTTTTCGTTACCTTTTGCATAATCTTCAAGAAGCAAGTGAAAATGTCCTAATTTACAATATGTTTTTGGATCTATACAAATGTCTCTCCGTGCCCCAGGTGAGCACGCTCTCTCTTCTTCCTGTTAACAGCAAAAAACATCTTGTTAAGTTAAAAATCTAATATATCAAATTCTCATGTCACGGTGTTTGTAATTGAACTCCTCCGCCGAAACGGCTCGACCGATTTTTTTGAAATTTTTTGTGCATATCGGCCAGGGTGGAGAATTGGACATCTATTTTTCACCCCCCTAAATGTTAAAGGTTAACCCCAAACATTTTTTCTACCCTACAAATAATTTATATGGCAAAACAACAACAAAAATATATTGAAAGAATGGATCAGCTTTAATACAAAACTAATATAAATAATAGTAATCATATGAACACATCTTCATATAATACTTTGAGGTTACATTTATGAATACCTTAACTTGGACCAACATGCCTTCCAGGTACTTGACTGCCTTGAGGACCAATGCTCGCGTTCTGACATGTTCACTTCCACGAAGTTTAAGAAACCCGAATTGACGACTGTGAGAAGCGAAAGCATATTAGTCATATATAAAGCCTTAAAATACAATTAAACTTAAACATATCACATTTTTTAATAAAAATAACTTCATATTCTCTTATTTAATTACTTTAAGAAAATTTCTTTTAAACTGAATTTAAATAATTATAATAGGGTTCAATGTTTGTTTATTTTAAATATGGGGAATAGTTTTGTGTGTATTTGAGAACTTATAGAAAATGGTAATCAATCATTCCCAATTACCTACCCCAGCACTAAAACTGAACAGTGTATTGTATATTGTATATGTAAGTAAATTATGTTGATACATTGATTGATTCGTAATTATTTTGTTATATCTTGTATGTTTTATTTATCTATTGTAGTCTTCCCTTCGAAAACATAACCCCCATTGCTGTAGGATAATATTATCCTGTGACGTAAGGATGTTTTACATACATAAATGTTACATGGACAATCACATAATTGAAACAATTATCTGTGGGTCACAAATAATTGTCTTGTGTGGGAATCAAACTCACAAAACCTGGGGCCGAAACCATTACAATATCTCTAACCGAGGCAAAATTTCTAAGTATTATGGCAAATAGGTTTTTTTGGTGCTCACGATACAGGCGTCGCCTAGTATGAGCACCGCAGATAATGTACGGTTTTCAAAATGTCTCAACAGTAATCCAGTTCTAAGTTTCTTAGTTTTTTGTATGTCCTATGTTCTTGCTGGTTAAATAAATGATTTATTATTATATTATTATTATTATTAACTTAAAAAGTGTGCTGTGTAGTTACCAAAAACAGTGATAGCTGATACAGGATACTTAAATTTTTTTTATTTTTAAACTAGGATAAATTAGTACTTTTTGTAACATGTTCATTCTTATGTATTAAGGGGTAATTAAGACGGGTAGGTGCATTTTTCCACCACAAATATTTTTAATTGATAGAGAAACATAATGGAAACAATATTTATTTTGAAAATATAAATAAATAAATCTTACTATAAGTGACTTCTCCTTGCTTTGCAGTTTCTTATTATATAAAAATGTACATGTATCATAATAAAAGTTATTTACAAAAATGATTTTTGTTTGCAACATTATTGCAGATTTCCTTAGTACTGCAAGATTTAATTTTTGTTTTATAAATTTTACCAAGAATTTATTCTAAAATGTATTAATAAACTTCTTGACACAAGTACTATGAATGTTTAAGAAACTTAATTGTAAAATAGCATAATGATATATAAACGATAAACAGAGTTTGACTTGGCTAGGAAGTAAGTGTAATTACTTTTGTAAAACTAAAATAAATTGATATGGAAATAAATAAATTATGAATTGGAAGAATGTAAAACATCTATCCAAAGAGCAAAACCGCTAAGTGTACGTAGACAAAACGGTTATAACTTAAGGGAACTTTTGGCATTCTTAAAATACTTAGGTTAAAGAAAATAAAATAATAATGTTTTTAATTTGAAATATTTATGTTTGATAAGACAGAAACAACTGATTAGATACCTGTCAAGTTCTGACAATACTTGTAGTTCCTGAGAGGTTAGATGCAATTCTTCTTTATCATCCATTATATACACAATGCTTATGGAAAAAGTATTATACTCAATAGCTTTCCTCAAACATTATTCAGTTACATTTAGAATTATGTTATTCAATTAAAAAATGAAATAGTTAGTAGCAGAACAGTAAAAACCAACAGCATCACATCCAGGGTTGCCATCTGAAAAATCATAGATAAGACATAAGTACTGAAAAATGGCGAATCTACCCGACCCCGACACTAGCAAAAAATCTGCCAAACTCATCTCCAAAAAAATCCAAAATTATGCCATCATGTTAGTATCGTCGGAGACAGTACAGTATAATTAATGAAATAGAGATTCTTTCGCATGAGGCTTTTGACATCTTCTTCTTGGTCGTGAGGATCGTGACTCATATTCAATTCATCAACAAGCTGTCTCCATCGGTTACGCTCTGTCGCCTGGTGAAGTGCAGCGCTTATGGGCATTTCTAGGTTTTCAGAAATTTATCCGCCCACCTTTAGAATTAAGACCTCTAGCTTTTCGAACCCTTTTTCTACCCTCTATTTTCCCTGTTTGACATAGGCAAACTTAAAAGAGCGTTTGCAAAGTTTGAAACATTTAAAAAGTAAGATAAAAATTTTGTTTTTGCTGGAAAATCTCTTTCGGAATAATATTTGGTAACAACTGCAAGATGATCAACACTGATGTAGTTATGGCTAGTGTACAATTGCGAGCTTTGCAAAATGCAATATCAGGATCTTCCTTAGTTTTGTAAATTTAGGAAGGAAGGCAAAGGATCTTGTTCCCATTCATGTCGGTATGAACGATCTTACTTTCTCTTCGACGTGCACAGAAGCCAACTACATACATGAAACGCCAAAAGAGAAAAAGGTATAGAATTACATAAAATTAGAAAAAACAACAAACATTGACATGAATCTAGATCAGTTATATTAATAACAAAATAAACCTTATTGCTGATGTGGTATCGTTTATAAAAATACGACGTACCTACATTAAAATACAATAATTGGGAAATCCCCGTACTAAGTGGGACGAAAGTTGCCACATCAGAAAATAATTTGCTAGAAGTATTCTGAATAAGAATTTCTAAATTAATAAAGATTTCCTTGAAATCTGTAACATCTAAAATTCAGGTGCAAAATCTGCCGAAATGGCAGAAATCTGCCACAAATGGTCACACTGATCACATCACAGATCATCAAAAATATTTTCTGGGTTACCATACGGATACCCATTAAAAATGAAAAGACAAACAAATGTCTATAAGTCATGATTTAGTACATTTTAATTTATATTAATTTTAATCAGTAACAAAGTATACTAGTACTTGAAGTAAACATACCGTAAACTTTTTAGTGTTTAACATAACATCAGAGGTATTTATCGTAACCGGTAAATATAACAGGTATCACGAGATAACAGATTGTACATGTTACGAACAAACTTTCCCCTATAGATAACTTTACTCTTTGATAACCTTAAAGAACAGTTCCTGTTCCACACAAATTTTATGTAGAACAGGAAAGTGTTGACAACAGTGTTTACGCTGTTGCACGAAAAGGCAGGTCTGTCCGGGTAAGTACCTCGACCTCACAGAAGACCGGCGTGAAGTGAAGTGTTATTCTCACTAATGTGTTGTCATCTCCTGCGTTTCGTCTGGTGACTGAGGTAGCCGAAACCCGCTATACTAAAAAGTGGCAACGCAATCTGCAAATGTGTTTCAAATGTCTATGGATCGGATATCACTTAAGATGAGATATTGATTCATAAAGGTTTAATTTGTTGACATTTACTATATATAAAAGTAACTAATTGGAACGTTTTTATTCTCTCCTATGGAGACTATAAATCAGTTTAAACTAATTATTACAAAGATTACAGCTAAAGTCTAAAGATAATTCATTAAATTAATTGAATCCAAAAATCAACTTCAGGGTTAAGGCAACATATTAATTGTGCTTTTGGCTTTTTTTTGCTTCTTTCATTCTGGCTTAACAATTAACATACAGCAAAAGTCTTGGTTGCCAATTTATTTATAAAATGTTAAAGAACTTTTTTTATTAAGTTGTGGGATTTAAGTCTGGTGTACAGGAAACAGTCTGTCGGGTTCGCTAGTCAATATATATAAAATTCTCGAGTCGCAATGTTAGTTGCCATACTCCTCCGAAACGGCTTGATGTATTTGGTAGGCTTGAGAATCGGTCGTAATCTTTTTTTCATACCCCTAAGTGGTGGTCCACCCCAATCATTTTTTTCCACCCTACAAATTCTAGCAATAAACTATTGCAAAAATCCTCTAGAAATAAACTATTGCAAAACGTTTGCCAGATCACCTAGTACAAATATATATTCATACACGAGAGAGAAGAAAAATCTAATGGGAATACATTAAAAATTCGTAACATAAATCATAACTATACAATAAAACAAAATTGAAATAACTTTCAATGAATATATTGAATTATATATTTTAATATTTTGACATGATTATATTTAATGGATCTGTTGGGAAAAATTACATATTATATTATTAGATATTTTTAATAAGAATACCAACAAAAATTACAAGTCATCTATTGAAATATATTTTAATTAATGACTGGTAATTCGATAATTACTATTTATACACGAGTAGTAATTATCAGTCATAAACAAATTGCTTAAATATTTTCTAGCCTTAATATAGATGTTACATAAAAGGCTTCAGTAATTTGACAAGTCTTTCTGTAATAACTTCGATTTGACATGTCTAATTTGGCTTTTTTTCTATTTGATGTAATGATAGATAAAATTTTGATTGAATTGTAACTAACTTCAAATAGAATTTACTGATAAAATGTAAACAGAAAATACGACTGCCTAGAAATATGATAAATTTTGGTTTGTCAACATATTCACACCTTATATGCTTATAGTTTATTACATTAAACTTGCATTCTAGCAACCTATTTGGGAAAATTTAAACAAAGGCTTATTGAAAATGTAAAATTATAAAAAAAATATAATTTGTTAATATACATCTATAACAATTAGCTCTGAAATTCACTTTCAATTTTAATTATCACAATTTCATCCTTTGGTACTTGTTACATCTAAGTATTGCATTTTAGCAATGGACTAGTTATAAACAACAAATAAGTTTTCAACAGTATTAACAAAATAGAAATTTATATTTAGCCTTCAACAACTCCATATTATCTAACAGGACAATAATTACATTATCTGAAAGTTGTCATATGAAATTGTATTCCACTTATAAACATTAAATCTTCGAGCCTATTTCGAAAGTGGTTTGCAATATATGTACTACTGTACTTAATAGCTCAAAATAGAATTTGGTTGTGACACATTAAATATCTGCCAAATGACACATTGGCAACCAGAGCGGGTCTCTTTAGAACAAGTGGTCAACTCAGTGAAAATATTACTAAACAATGACACGATAATTATTATGCAACATGAGAAGTATTCATTTCAATTTTATATAAATTGATGCTTCTATAATTCAATAGTTATTGCAATTAATGGAATTTAAAATACACTTTGGGTCATAAAAATATTTTATGTGAAGCTACATGTGAAATAGATTACTTATACATTACCCTTATCATCAATTTTCATTGAAAAACTAGATATTGTCATCTAATGACTTCTCATAATAAGGCTTAAGAATTGTACTTTAAATTCAACTGTCATCCCAACATTTGTAAAATATATCTTGAATTTGACTTGTAAATATTTTTTTTAAATGTTTTTAAGCCCTACTGCAAATGGCACATGAATATTGCTTACATGCAATATATGTATCAACCTTCTTATCTTTGCGGATTTATTTAAAGACTCGTATATATAAATTGTACTTATATATCTATAAAAACAAATAATAAACATAGATAAATATTCTTAAAAAAATCTTTTAAATATCTATCATAATCTAAAATAGATCGTTGTTGTTTTCTATGGGAAATGCATATTTAATAAATTATATTTTTTATATACGACCTCTCAACTGTCATTTTCATGTTGATTTCATTGTAAATAAGGATTGGTGTAAGCTCGATCGAGACTTCGCACACGTTGTCGTCTATGTCTATAATCAAAAGACATGCTGAAGGGTTGATGGGAAGTTAATTGTCAGCGGATTCGAGATACACGCAACTCTCTGTCTAGTTGCTGAAGTTGACGTATAAATCCGTCATTGGGATGAATATCTCGCCTGGATCGGACTAGCGCAAGAGCCTCGGTGAGAGACATTCCACGCTTGATCATTAGGAAAGCGAGCGCGCATGTTGCCGAGCGCGAAACTCCCATCAAACAATGCACAAGTACGCGACCTGTAAAATTCATAAAATTATTCAATTTACAAAATAAATGTAATTCCCGGATTTAGTTGGGAATAATGTTGGTTCTCCTTTCCGACATTTCCAACCAAATCTTATAAAATGGTTCAAAATATTTTTAGTTAAGAATGTGTAAAAACAAGATAACTATATTTATTTTGTTTGGTATAAATGCATTAAGAATTAATGTGTAATCTAATACTATGCCAAATTATTATTTCGAAAATATGCAGGTTTTCTTACGGTGATTCCCTTCACCGTTGAGCATGTGATAAATCACCGCTTAGGTGCTGGCACCGGGTTTGAACTCGGATTGCTCTATACTCGAGCTCGATGAATTCAAAACGAGCGCCCAGAAATTGAGCTATCACAAATTAATTTGTAAAGAATAATAAATTTATATGTGTCTGTCCATCAACTAGCGATAACTTTAGGACATTAAATTTACCTAATTTAATCAACAGATATCTACATTTAGGGGTCCTCTTGTTGAACTTTTAATTTTCTATTATTTCTATTTTTATTTTCTATATATTTTAAATGCCTGTACTACAACATTCCGACATCACTCGTTCTACAGATATGGAAAAAAAACATGTTATTTGTTAGGTAATAATACCACTTAAAAGATCAGTAACCTGGAGGACGGCAGTCTCTTTTGGGGCCGCTCGATTACCGACCGAGCTATTATAACATTTTTTTCGGCGGCGAAATTTACTGTCATATTCGAATATATGTATTTTTCATTCCCTTAAAACAGGGATAAAAGGTCATTTTCTAAAAATGAATCCTAGCTAGATCAATTTTTCACCCCCTAATCGACGCACATACTAAATTTCATGAAAATCGCTGGAGCCGTTTCTGAGATTCCGATTATATATATATATATATACACACCTATACGAGATAGGAGTAACTAGTTTAGCCTATTCCAATCTAATTTGTCCTAAGCCCGATAGGATAAAACAGTTTAGGCTAGGCCAAACTAGTTGATCCTGATATAAATACGTACACTCTAGGATAAACTGGTATGGCCTAGTTTAAACTTACAGTATATCTAGAAAGTCAAAATAAATAGATAAACTGAATAAAATGCTCCGTAATTGGAAAAAAAAAACATTTTTATTAAAACCATAATGCACCGTCGTTAAAAGTTATGGATAATTGGCAATACAAACAATCATAATATAACAAATAATAAATGTTTTTAATAGAAGCGATAACCATATCTCAATTAAATAAAATAGTAGTAAAATAGTTATTTATTTTTACATGGTTTGCTTGGGTGGCACTTAGAATTGTGTGTTTGTGAAACAGTTTTTGTTGTAGCTGTATCTCATAAAACCTTGCCCTGATCCAACTGAATGTTTCGTAGCTGCACTCCTTAACGATATTTCAAAGCCTCGGTTTACATCTGCTACCTCTAAAGGCTCCTCAATAAGGCTAACTGCTTTTAAAGAAATTATTGCACATACATTTTTTTTAGCAACAGTTGTATTGAAAATGTCGATGTCAGCCACCCGGAATGTCTCGTATAAACGGCAAGTCCTCAACAGGTAAGAGTTCTTTCTGTATGCAGGTCTCGTTTTAGGGACGTGGTGTAGGAGACGGTATCTGCGCAAATTCGCAGAAGGTACGCATAACCCTATTTTGTTCACAAGTTCGGGAATATTAGTCGAATCATTTCTGATGTGAGATAGAAGAGCCAGATCCGCAATTTTCCTATTGTGTACGTATTTATATCAGGATCAACTAGTTTGGCCTAGCCTAAACGAGTCTATCCTATGGGGCTTGGGTTAAATTAGTTTGGACTAGACTAAACTAGTTTGTCCTTAAATCGGGTTTGGCCGGTAACATATATTCAAGAATTGCTCGTTTATAAAAGATCATGTAAAGCGTCCGCATAATATTGTTAAAATTGTTGTAGCATGATAACCAAAACTATTTTTATACAGTAGTTAGACACGGTGACTAGGTGCAAGGCAATAGAGAATATGCAATGAATTAGATCAACTAAGAATTTTATCAATTAATATAATTATGTGTAAAGGGCATATGTGTAATATTTTGATACCGACGATTTAATTTGATTTAGCTAAGTCTGAATAACCTTGAAATGTGGTCCATAGTTACCGTGCCTGAAAGTTCTTCTTATTCTTAAATAATTCAAAAACTGTACTAGTTTTCATTGTTTTTTGATTGTATGAATATATTGACAGAGATATTCAAACAAGACTGTCTTAGTCTGGCATTCAAAGGTCGCCATTGGAAAGTTCTAGAATAGTTTCGGTTCAAGAACAATCCTTCGATATAGAGATTAGTGTATGGCGTATTATATCGCTATGCTACTATGAAATATTAAAATTTTTAAACGCGGAAAGTTGCGTCCGTAACATTTTCGACGCGTGCAAGATATTCGAGGCACAAATCATAATGTGTGAGCAACTTCTTGCTCTTGCGCGCGCGCTTGGACACAACACAACTGGTTAAAAGTGCGCCCAGGGCGAACAAGTCAATGAACGTTCGACACTCGTTGTCGATTAAATCGACTTGATTAAATGTTTATAACACTTCACTTAAATATATTTTGTTCGTTATTATATTCGTAATATAAATTGAACGACAACACTATCTAACGGTGGTAGGGCCACGCAGCAGCCTCGGCTTTTCCACGAATGGGCAGGCTCGTCCGGGTAAGTACCACGACCTCACAGAAGATCGGCGTAAAGTAGAAGTATGACAAATACTTTCGCGTTTCGTCTGGTGAGTGAGGTAGCCGGAGCCCAATTTTCAAAAGGTTGTCAACGCATCTGTAACCCTCGGGTGTAGCAGATGTCCATGGGCGGCGGTATTCACTTAACATCAGGTGAACCGTCTGCTCGTTTGACAACTTTTCGCATAAAATAAATAAAATAAAACAACAGCTCGGTGTTGGAGAGATCGAATATATCCGTAATATAACCATCATAACACCACAGTGCTCAGGTGCAAGGGTTGTGTGCGACGCAATCATTTTGTAAAAAATTACAAACCAACATTCTGTAAAATATATCATGTGGACTAATGAGACGGGGTGACATTTACAAGAGCTGGAATTATTAATCATAGAAACCAGCATTTATGGATGCAAGAAAATCCAACGCAGTATGGCCTAGCAGATTTCAACATGAATACTGTGATTATGTATACTGTACATCGAAGGGGTGTCAAATTTTTGTGGGACATAGTAACAGGTGACGAAATATGGATTTATTGCTACGATCGCAAAACATAGCAGCAATAGAGCGTATGGGTCTTTGAAGATGAACCCAAACCAACCAAAGCGGCGCTCGTATAAAGTGTATCAAAGCGGTACGTTGCCTATTTTTTAAATGAAACTGGGGATGTGGCTACTGTAGCTTTAGAGAATCATCGTACCATGAAAAGTGACTGGTATACGACCATTTGTTTGTCGGAAGTTATTGACGAACTGCATTAAAATAACCGTAAACGCCCTATCATCTTGCACCGCGACAATTCCAGTTCTCACAAGTTTGATTTTTTTAATTTCCCCAAGGTGAAAAACGTAGAACTATGAGCCATCCTGCGTAGAGTCCCGCACCTTGTGACTTTTTTCTGTTCCCAAAAATTAAGAACCAATTACGCGGTCACGATTTTCATCACCATAAGAGGCTGTTGAAGACTATGTAAAACACAATTATGAGGTCAACACGCAGAAGTGGCACAAATAAATGATTTAAAAATTGATTTAATTGTAAGGAAAAGTGCATTTACGCAAAAGAAGAATATTTTGAGAAACAATAAATTAATTTTTGATCTTTAATAGTATTTTTTCTTATTCATTTTGGAAACTTTTAGTATGCCCCATGTATCAAATTATATTTTATTCAAAGTAGAATTTTTAGGTTGAAATATATTGATAATTTCTAGTACAGCCATTTAACATCATGATAAGAAGTTAAAATGGCGGCCATACGCAAAAGGGACCCCGGGAAGGTTTTTGTCAAGAAAATTAGGTATATTGAAAGGCCTTAAGTTATCGCTAGTTGATGTATTAAATAATTATATCACTTACCTCCTCTAGAAATACCTTCGTCAATAAAATTAGCAGCAATATGAAAATATTTCGAAATATCAGTTGTTGGAAGATCCATGAGTTGGAAGCCTTTATAATGCAACCCAGGACAATCACGATAGTACAAATGGTCTGTGTCCACTTGAGTGTAACGCTTTCCTTCTGCGGTGTTCAGAACATAAGTGATACCCATACGCCGTAAGAATGCTTTGTCTTTAGCTGCAACTCTAAAAAATATGTAAAACAATAACTTTATGCTAAAAATGTGAACATCATTCAATTTGCCAAGTAACTTCAGGCATAATTATGACATAACATATTACATTAAATAACACAATATGGTACGTAGATAATCATGATGTGTCAGTAATCAACATTTGTATTCCTTTAAGTTGAAAATTATTTAATGTGCAGATTTTGACTTGTTACAATACATATAAATCAAATTTACTAAAGTACCTTTATGCAAAATTACTTACGCATCCCCCACAAATAGGCCAGGATATACCTCATTCATATCAGGTGTTGAGGTGTATGTGACATCAGCAAAAGTTCTTGAGCGATACGATGGTATTGTATTCAACACTGATGATGGTGATGCCCCATAATTCTGTTCATCAAAAATTGTTTCATACACATATAAATAAATTTTATTTAAATATGCCATATCTTATCAAATATGTAGCATTTAAGTTAATTTATTATTGTAATTAAAACAGTGCAATCATATTATTATAACAATATACTTATGCTACATACTTTACAAATCTCACTTAGTCATACAATAAATTGACCACAGTCAACAGTGAGTGGTGGTACCCAACACCATTCATTTCTTCATTGGTCACATAGCCATGTGACCATTCACAAATACAGGCATAAAAAATTTGCATTCTTTTTATATAGGGTAGTTATTTATTATTTCATTTTAAATAGGGTGTTCATTTTTGCACACGGGATATGAACTACTACTGACCAGGCAACAATGCAGCTTTAAGATTATTTTCAGTTCTCAATATGTTAATTAAATAATTATAGAATAAAATATGCCAGGAAGTAAATTATTTTACAACTTTGGTAAAAACAAATTCAATATAACACAGTACTTTAATTACAACTGTAGTAATTAAATACCTTTTATCAGAACCATTGTTTTTTATGTTATTGGACTAAAAAAAAATCTCAGCCATTAATGTTAAAAGGTGGTAATAAAAAATTCAAATGAATTACACATGACATTAGCATTAAATCTTTACCATTAGGGTCCGCATGTAGCTTCCTACACGTTGTTCATTAGCTGCACTGTATGAATGAGTTCTTGGAAAGAGTGTATGCTGTTGATAATACATATGAAATCAATTCAAATTATTCTTTTAGAACTGTATATACCTGATTAGCAGGTACAAAATGGATCTAAATATAGTGATTGGCTAACTGTAATGTTGTCCTATTTTACATTTTACATTATAAAGGAGCTTAAACATTTCATTTATCAGGAGTACCTACTATCACTAACTCATATTGGGGTATTAATTCAAGGATTAAAAAATGTTATTATTGAAATTAGTGACTAAATATACTTTTATTATTTAAACTGACACTAAAGAATAAATAGATTTAATAATAATAGTAAAACACTTTCTTTTGTGTCACAAATGAATTTGAATAATTTATTAAAGAACAGCACCTGAACCATATGTACCATAGCTGTTTCAAAAATAGAACCTTCTTTTAAGTCACCACATACATCCACAAAAAATAGAATTTTTTAATATTTCCATTAGATAATAGACTTATATAAAAGAAAGAAAAGATTGTCAAATGATACACATCATATGATAATCTTCCCTTCATTTTATGTATTTCTTTAACCTCTTTGAATTAATCCTTATATATTTCTACTTGTACGTTATCCATCAATCACAATTCAAAATATTAAATACCGTAGTCTATAGATACAAGAACGCATAACCATTACGAAAATTGAAAGTAAGAATTACCTATATTCAAATTCTAAATCTAGTCAGAGTGGTAGGTACTAAATCATAAGGAGCACATGATCACGGCCTTGCGTTTGCGAATTCAAGACTTTGATTGGGTTTTTGTATAGAAACTTTTATTTTCAATGATAACCTTTATAAAATTTGAGCAATTTAAAAAGATTCATTTATTGCAGATAGTAATTAAACAAATAATACAACTTTCACAATGTTTTGAGTTTTATCTTATAATTTATTACTTACAGTGTCCCGGTAACTCATTTTGTTTTGTTTCTTCCTTTTACTATCGCTGCTCAAGTTGTCGTTTTTAAGAAAACTTGTTGTATACACCACTCAACACAACAAATTAACTCTACACATGCAATGAAATGAGATGAGATTAGTCAGTTCTTTATTCGTTACATTCTGTCAGGGCCATGCGTACCGTGTTAGGTCATGTCGCAAAACTATACTATAAATATAGGTAACAATAGGATTGTCTTTTCTTTCAACCTTATCACCAACACATAAGAATCAGTTTAAAACGAAGAAAGAGAATAAACAGCTCAAATACTCATATCAATGACAACACAGAGACTTAATAATTCTAGACAGAATTAATAATTCTAGCAACATTAAATCTCAAAGTATTTACAAAATCAAAATCAAAATCAAAATCATTTATTCATCGACCTATGAAACTTACATTTCATTTATCAATAGTCATATTTTTTTTTTAAATCTACCAGGTAGTCTACCACCGTTTCGTAATGAGGTTCCTCTAGCGGAGAAGAAACAGGCGAAAGAAACTCCGTAGGTATCCTCTTTTTTGTAATTATTTTTTTTTTTCTTAACAAAAAATTCAAAAATTATAGAACTGATTTTTTTCCTTTTAGAAATAGCTTGGGAGCGATCAACTCATTTCCAGGGGTTATTGTCATTAATGTATTCATTTGTATTATAATAACCCTTTTTATAAAGTTTTTCTTTAATAAATTTCTTAAACCTGTTAATAGGCAGGTTTTGCGCATTTACTGGGATTTTGTTGTAAAAGCGTAAACACACCGCCCCATGAACGAGTTACTTACTCTATGGAGTCTAGTAACTGGCATTACAAGCTTGTGTTTGTTCCTAGTGTTCACATTATGTATATCAGTATTCTTATCAAAATTATTAATATTTCTACGCACATACATAACATTTTCATATATATATTGAGAGGCTAAGGTTAATATATTTATTTCTTTAAACTTCTCTCTCAAAGATGCATTCAGATCTAGATTATAAATAGCTCTTATGGCCCTTTTTTGCAAAATAAAAATTGTTTCTATATCGGCCGCGTGCCCCCATAGCAAAATACCATATGACATTATGCTATGGAAGTAACTAAAATACACAATTCTAGCCGTTTTTACATCAGTTAGACATCTTATTTTCCTTATAGCATACGCTGCAGAACTTAGTCTATTCGCAAGTTTGGATATATGGGGACCCCATTGAAGCTTTGCATCGAGAGTTATTCCAAGAAAGACAGTCGTATCCACAAGGCCTAACTCCCCCCCATTTATAAGTACATTGGTAGCACCCAAATGTTTAACATTAGGTGTTGAAAATTTCATACATTTCGTTTTATTACCTTATTTTTTAGACTATTTCTGACATAGCATTATTTACCTCGTCAAGTGTAACAAGCTGTCGATTGATTTTAAAAATTAATGATGTATCATCGGCAAATAAAACTATATCGTGTTTACTCCCTACAAAGTAAGGAAGATCATTAATGTAAATGAGAAAGAGAAATGGGCCGAGAATCGAGCCCTGCGGAACGCCCATAGATACCGTCGACCCAGAAGAACTAGCACCATTAATTACAACTTTTTGAATTCTATTAGATAGATATGACTTAATGAGGTCAAGCGCGGTACTTTTAATGCCATAATGGCGCAATTTCCTGATCAGTGTTTCATGATTCACGCAATCGAAAGCCTTGGAAAGATCACAAAAGACACCCAGAGCATCCTGTGAACTCTCCCAAGCCTCAAATATATGTTTGATCAGCTCTACACCAGCATCGGTTGTAGAACGACCCCTTGTAAAACCAAACTGGTTGTGATGTAATAATTTATTTAAGTTAAAATGTGTTAACAGCTGATCTAGAAGAAGTTTTTCGAAAATTTTACTAAGTGTTGGTAGTATAGAAATGGGTCTAAAATTAGTGGGGTCCGAAGTACTACCGGATTTAAATACAGGTATGACTTTACTGTGTTTCATGAGATCAGGGAATACGCCAGAATCTACACTACTGTTAAAAATTATTGACAAATAAGGTGCGATTGAATCTATTATTGAGGCAGTCACTTCAACGGACATTCCCCATAGATCTGCCGTTTTCTTAAGTTCAATGGTCTTAAACATTTTTATAATATCTTTTGCATATACAGCCTGAAATTTAAAGATTGTGGTGCAAGCACTTACATTTTCCTTAAGTAATGTCTCGGCAACAGCAGGAGAAGAATTCAGCGACAATGTAGTTAAAGTAGGAATCTCACTAAAGAATTTTTCAAATACTTCAGCTACCTCCTGATTAGTCGTTATAAATTTATTATCAATGTTGAGCTGGTAGTCAGACCTACGTGATTTGGTTTTTTCCTGTTTCACTATTTATAATGTTCCAAGTCATTTTTACTTTATTAGAGGCATTTTTAATTTTATTTCTCAAATGTAATGACTTGGCGGCAAGACACACTTTTTTAAATATTTTTGAGTAATTTTTAACATAATCTTTAAATGTCTCAGAATGATTGTATGACCTTTCACTGTAAAGTTCATACAATCTTCGTCTACTGCGGTGAATTCCTGCTGTTGCCCATTCATTAAAAGTCTTGCGACTGTTCAAAGAGAATGTTTTAGAAGTAAAAACGGCATTGTATTCGATTTGTATGAAATTAAATAATGAACTATACAAGGCGTTAGCATTGTCATAGTAGGGCAGCATAGGTAGTTTTTTTTATTAAATTACTTCTAAACTTCTCCTTGCGATATTTATTTATCGGAACAAACACAGCTTTCCTAATATCTTGGATTTTACAGTGCAGAGGCAATGTGACAACTGATTAAAATTACTTAACTGTATTCAAATATTGTTTTAAAAATCTGATATCGTGCATTGCTTGCCTGTCCCACCTCTAACTAGTTAAGTTGTTTATATCCTGAATGGTCAGAACTTAATTTATGTATTATTAGTCTGTGCAATGGTTTGACATCTGTAAAAATGTTATCTATACATGTTGCACTTGACTCTGTTATTCTTGTAGGCTCAAAAAACAAGTTGAAAAGATTAAATGATTTTAACAATGAGCAGAATCTTATCCTCATGGAAGAAGCTTCTAGGAGATTAATATTAAAGTCTCCGCATATGACGACAGATTTCTGTTTATGAAGTTTATGTAAAACTTCCTCCATGATTTTTTCAAAACGTTCATACAAGGCACAGGGCGGTCTGTAAACACTAACAACAATGAGATGCTCAAGCTCAACACAAGCCATTTCTATAGTTCTCTCAACAGAGAGGCTCACAATATCCTTACGCTCCTTATATGACAAATATCTATTTAATAATATTAAAGAGCCACCACGTAACACTTTTTCTCTATTGAAAGAACTAACAACCTGGTGTCTACTGAAGTTAAACATAAAGGTATTATTTTTTAACCAATGTTCAGTAATACATAAAATATCAACATCATTGCTATTTAAAAACAAGTCAATTTCTAAATCTTTACCTTGAAAACCTTGAATATTTTGATGCACCAGGTTTAAACAATTTTTATTACATAACATTTTCTGTGAAATAGAATATTTTTTTTTATAATTCATTACATAAATGTCATTGCAAGAGATTTCCTCTTTTGTCTCAATAATTAATTTAAATTATTTGGAATGGATTCCAAAGTACATATTAAACTATTTAGCTGCTCAATAGGAGCAGATGATGGTGTAGCCAAACGCTTGGCTAAATTAAAATGTAAAAAATAAGATAGCGCATTTGCTATCAGTCTTAAATTAAATTTTGATAGGAAATACCTATGTTTTGTTTGATATTTTTTAATTAAGGCATTAATGTCAATTATATGTAATTTGTCAGTATCATTATTTTGACATGTCAAATTCACTGAATTATTACAGAATAAATTCTTCTTCTTTTTATTAATGGCTTGCTTTGTGAGTTATCACAATTACGCCAATGTCAAGTTGTTCTTAAAATTCTCAATTTTATAATATTCACATTAAAATTGTAATAGGCAAATAAAAACTTCAAAAAACGTCACCAATCACAGAATAAATTGCTTAACTGCAAATTAATGTCAAATCTTATTTTGTTTTCATGTGGCATATCCCTTAAATAAGGCAATGTAAACAAGACAATTTTATTAACATTTAGATTATTTACATCTTCCAAGTATTTTAACAACTGTCCTTTGTTAACATTGCCCCTTGTCCCTATCAACAACACTAATATGGTGTTGGGACAGAAAGTACTACATAAGACCTTTTGAATTATGTTACAGCCTATGTTACAAAAATTATAATTTGAAAAAAGCGTGTACATATTTTTAAACGTATCTTTTATCTTTTTTTTTATCACTAGATGAGTTTCAATCGAGGAGCAAATTTAATAAATTTTGTATGTAAGTATTTTTTATTTGCACTACTGGGTGTTTTTGTATGTTGTTTGCTACAGTGGGTGGAAAATGGAAACTTCAGAAAAAAATAAAATGTATCAAGTCAGACCATTTTCTTTTACCAACTCAACGAACCAAAAATATGAACGCCGTACGAAAAAAGTATTGAATGTTTGGAATATTTTGGACGATGGTCCGACCCGACACGGAGATGACCGACTAGAGCCTGGAGGTGCCTGAGTTGACTCTGGGAGAGTTCGGCGCTCCCGTCCATAGGATGAAAGCCAAAAGCGCCGCCCCGGGTCAGCATCATGGAACGAGCCTGGGCCTTCGCCCTTAGTGGATGCCCTGTAGCCTGAAGGTTGAAGACGATGTTTATTGCCTGTCTGGCCTAAGCCATAATTCTACAGAGGTGGAAGACAGGCAGACTCGTCCTCATCTGGAAGGAATGGGGTCCCTTGGACTCGGCCTTCGCCTATGTGAAAGAGTTGTTGCTGGCCGCATCGTCGAGCACCTGGAGACGTTGTTCCGAATCTGGCGGATCGGCAGTACGGGTTCCGTAAGGGTCGTTCAACTATCCACGCGGTGTTGCGAGTTAGG